GCTAATCCTGCATCCAACTGAATCCTCTTTGGACCTTTTAGCAAAAGAAGCAAGCCAGCGGGCACACTGGTTACCATCCCTAAAGGTGTGTAACACCCTCCACTCGATGAACAAATCAAATAGAACAAAAATCTCATGAAGAAAGTTAAGGAACCAGGGAGGAGGTTCCTCCTTCAAAACTTTTACAATCCATTCCGCATTGGTTTCGATAATGAGTTTATTTCCACCCAGCTGGGTTGCAGCCAAGAGTCCATCCTTGACTGCCAATAGTTCATTCGCCCAAGAGTTGCCATCCTGTATAAATCTGCATCCTGCAAAGAGTCATCTGGCAGTGCTGTCTTTAGCACAAAACCCACACCGCCCATCTTTGAATGTGCTTCGAAAGCTCCATCAGAGTTGAGCTTGATCCACTCTGCTGCCGGCCATGACCAACACACTTGAATAGAGCTTATGACCTATTGCAGGGACTGCATCCTCAGGCTGGTTAATACAAGTACTGTCATACAAGTATGAGATAGCCCGATAAGCGACTGTTGAATGGGGAATCCGAGTATTATAGAACGCAGCCTCATTCGAGCCATCCAAATCATCCAGAGGTTATATGCGATTAAGATAACCAGATGGTTGGATGAAGGAGAGAAAAAACCTTCCTTTAACCAGGATCCATCCACCCAAGAAGAAAAGGACTGGAATTGAATATTAAATTTCAGTTTAAGGGATTCCCATACTTTCAAGGAAAACGGGCATTCAAAAAATAGGTGTTGTTGGCTATCAGCACCAGTAGAGCAAAGGAAGTAGACATGAAGGTCACAAATTTGAAAACTAGCCAATCTTCAAACATTAATTACCATTATGTAGTTGTAAGGAGTTCTGTTGAAGCATTGCTAAGTCTTTTAAGAGTCATTACATGGAGTTTCAGTTTCCCAGATTATTGCTACTCGTGCATTTGCTGGAATACTTTCTTCCAAAATCTGATCTAGCATCATGAAACAAGTCTCATTGCTCATGGTTATTCCACAAAAGATAGTATCCTGATTTTAATTTGAGTATTGCCTCATTTTTCACTTGTTCTTTTCTGAAACTAATGTTGACTATTTACATTTCTGAAACAAGCGGTGATCCACCTTAAGTTGTTAATTCACATGCATACATCAATCTGTAAAATCATCATTGCAATGAGTTTGAGAAATCTTGGATCATCTCAATATTTTTGTGGCAAGAACCAAGCTGCTTAAGATTTGGAGCACAGCTACATATGTTATATAGTTAATGCAGAACAATAAGAAATACGCAGAATCGGAGCATTTTGTTATTCCATAATATTTCCTGTTTTCTCTAATTTAGGATGGATTTGGAATGCATGCAACAGTAAAAATGTATAGAAGACAAGTAATTGTCTTCAGTCTATGTGAAATCAATTGGAGCATCAGAGGCTAATATATCATGCAAGAAATCTTGTTTATTTGGTCTTTGATTTGAATGATAGTTATGAAGATACAATTTATTAAGTGGACAAATGACTCTCAGCAACTCTTTCCCATAGCATAACTATTCATAATTGGGCCTGTCAAACAGGTGAGGAAACTCAAAACAATTACTTAAGACCACTTGCTAGATTCCCAAGATAATTGCATGTTGTCATCCATCTAAATTGAATTGCAGTATGCAAGTCTTCAATGTTCTGTTTGAAATGTGGTCCAACATTCGGACATTAAATTTCATTTTTATATTAATATATATTGCACAAGATCATTTAATTTATTACATGCTAATGAGATATGTGGTCCACTATAACAATTATTTGTGGCAAGGCAGTTCCAGCAAGTCTGTATAAAAACCAAGAAGAAAGTCTGTATAAGATATTGTCTTGTTATATAACTGCTTTGTTGATTCAAACAAAAAAGGCTGATTCACAATGATGATAGACAGTATATCTTCTGATGAACTTAATCATTAGATGTGATTCTGTGGTCACTCCTCCGTAATTTACCTTACACATTTATGGTACACTCAATGTTCAGATTCTTGTTGTTATCTACAGAAGCATATGCTCTTAAGTGAAAAGAATCTAACATGGTGTCTTTCTATGTTCTAATTGTAGCTTACCAGATCAAACCATGAATCCCAAATTGGAAGCAGCAACACAGATGCAAAAGACTAATGTTGAATGAAGCATGAGTGGAATTTAGACTGCGAAGCTCATGTATCCATGCCTTCTGATATTTCCTTAAGAAAATAAGGTATGTATGCACATGTGATTTTGACCACAATTTCTTATACCGTAACAGTAAAGATGTCATTGCAAGTGGAAATGCAGAAAAATACAAGAGGAGAATTACTGGCTCTGCTTAGTAAGCGAAGATCGCAAGAGCTGGGCTTTGATTGCATTCAGCGTCAGGGCCATGGAAGTGACTGTTTCTGAATCTGCTGTGACAGAGCATTCAAGCGTAGGGGACCTCTCAAATCTTTTAATTTCTTCGGGAGGGATATAGTAGGCCTGAGGCCTCCATCTCGGTATGCATTGTCACAGGACCATCTCAATCACCATCTTACAGAATATATTTCCTGGATCCTCTCAGTATTCAAACAAAATAAACCCCAAAATCATGGTAAAAGTGTCGTTGGATATCATCCTGTCAGTGTATTATCTACTGAGAAGTAGCATGGATCATCTGATAGTCTCTGTCTTTATCTTCTACATCTCTTTCAAACCAAAATGTGAATTGAAATGGTGGACATATATTTCTGGCAATGGTGATGATTGAGGCCATCTGTTTATTTGCAGGAGGCAGGTGGAGCCATGGTGGTTGGTGGATAAAGGCCGGCTGGACACAACCATGCTGGCCAGGATAACGAGACAGAAGATATGGGATTGATGTGTACAAAGGCAAGGAACAAGATAAAGATCTTCAAATGAGCAATCCATGAAGGATGACCGATTGCGCTGAATAGAGAGGAAAGCAATGCACATGGGTGGCTCGAGCCAAGAAGTGGTCCTCAAGAAGCATCTCGATATTGCACTCATGCAAGAAGACCCAATGGAAGCATAAAAGAAGAGTGTTCTTCCTCGAAGCAAGTACAATCGGGTGATTGGCAATCCATCCTAGGAAATGATCACCATAGCAGGCTGCTGGAACAAAGATGAGAGAGAGAGATACCATCACCACCAGATGTGAACATGGAGATGTCACAGGACTTAGCAACTATACTGATATGTCACCTGTCTTGTAGAAATAGAGAGCTGTTCTCTGCAGTCATATTGCATAGTTTCTGTCAGTGATGGTTGATATCATGACAACACTCTTCCGGGGATCTGTAATCAAATTTAGATTTGGATTCCATTGCCCACGAGACTTATCATTTCTTTTTTCTAGTATGACTCTTCGAATCTTAATATAATAAATTTGTTGAATTGGAAAATAACAGTTCAGATGTTTGCTAATCGGCTATATTTTCCTTTTAAAGACGATCTTCGTGAATGATTCTTATCGTAACAACATAGTTTCTGCTCCGAGAAACAGATGCGTTAATTATGACCCAAACAAAGGGACAAATGAAAAATCCACGAAAAATCAAGAAAATGGACAATTAGTAGTGGTGATGTAGGCGAGAAGATCCTATCAACCCCATGGACCAATCGCCCGGTGGCCCTCACAATAAATGCAGCCGGGGGCCGATGGCTGACTCAAGTGCAGGCCATCTTCTCCGACATTGTTCTTTTCCTCCTCTTTTTTGGGAGATTAAACTTCCATCTCTTGCATGCAAAGTGCACGTAAACTCAAAGATGCATCGATCGGAAGCCTTTCATTCCTAATTGTTTTGATTGCATGAAGTGCGTCGTTAGGAAAGAGTTGAGATGGTCCCAACTCGAGATAAAACCATCTAAATAATGACCCCAAAATTCCTCTCTATATGGATCTCCTTTTGAGATGGTCCCAATTGTTTTGGATCCCACGGGGTAAGAATCTTAAAACGTCTAATAGGAGAGCGACACGCCATCCCGAGGGGATTTCAAGTCACGTGCCGCTCGGCAGGACACAATGGGTGAGCCGGTGGCAGGCCGGACCCACACCATCCGCTGGGCCGGCCCGCCATGTCGGCATTCACTCGCCGCCCCCAACGTCCCCGTTTGTTCACCCGACGCCGACGACAGAGGCATGGCCCACTATGGGTGAAATAGTTGGTGTTCCGAACGAAAATAAGTCTCGAGATGAGTTAAAGAAAAGTCACATGTGATGAACAAAAGAAAAGTCAAATTTCTCTTGAGCCGACATGTATCCTTTCGGACACATGAATCGCTGAATGCACCCTAGTAGATCTTCCTTAGATCCCACACCGTTGACGAGGGATTCATATCATATCCATGGGAGGAAGAACAGTGTCGACAAGGGGGCTCACACAGACTCGGTGAATCGACCCATGAATGAGACTGCTAAGGTGCTATCAGAAGAAGGAAGATGGGAGGAAGGTAAAAGAGCCACCCATCTCACTTCTGTTAGACCACAAGTCCTTAGAGCTGCAGCCATGGCGTGCGTGCATGTGAAAGCCGCCTCAGCTGTTCATAGACAAATATATATATGTGTGCATGCGGAACCCATACTGCAGTACCACTTGTTGCTGACTCTGTCTTCTAATAGAGAATTCATTACTGTTTTCTTTATTTATCCTAAAAGAAGCTAATATTCCTTGGTATATCATTGTGTCTATGTGTGTGTATATTCTCATTTCTTCTTCCTTAGGATTTCAAAGGGTTGATAGAACCAAATGTTTGATCAAATACGTATATATGTACATAGATCGGTACGTATGTAGTTTTGTATTGTATATTCTGTCTCCTGTTCAGAAGTTCCATACGCTTTCCAAATTCTCCCTCCCTCAGCAAATTCCCATAAGATCCCAAAAAACCAAACAGGAAGAAGCAGAAGAAGAAGAAGAAGAAGAAGGCTTAAATTTAAACAAAAGAACCTCTATGAAACTCCTACCGAGGACCATCTCTGCCCTACTCTATTTAAGGTTACTTTACAGGAGCTGGGCATATATCACAGCAGCATATACCTTCTTCATGCCTACCCAGACATAGAGAAAACACATCTATATACATCGTCGTCTTTACCTCTCTGCCCTTCCACTTCTTCTGTACTACTTGTAGATGCGATCCTGCATTACTCGGAGATTCCGGGATGTAATGCCTTGCCTCCTGGTATACAGTCGGCAGAGGTTGTCGTAGTTGATCTCCTCCATGCACTAAATGTCTTCACGAGTGATGACTGACGACCGAAGATAGGCAGGATTACTACGTGTAGTTTTTGGCTACACTCTTTGGGTACGAAATCAAGGGTCCTGCATCAGTCAGATTCTGGGCTTCTAAATAGCTGGATCAGCGGAAGGTATAGATTATATGTCGTAGATAAATCTGGATATATATCGATGTTCTACGTCATGTTTGTTTATTTTCCTGAGAAATAAATTTGTGAGATTGAAATCTCTCTCTTTTGCTCTACAACTCAAGTATATAAGCTTTGTTCTTTGGAATTGTGATACGTAGATCGGGAAGAAACAAGCTTACCATGGATAGCTTTGGTTGGGAGAATCCAGCGGCCATCAGAAGCGAGGTTTTCCTGTCGCCAAGTAGATGCAGCAACCACTATGGTGATTTCACAGGCTCCAGCGAAGGCTACACCGCCTTCAACGATAAGTTTGCACTCGACGAAGTTCTCCTCAGCTCAGGCTTAGAGCTCCAGGGGATTCTGGACGCATGCCAAGCAAGTTCGCATCTTGGTGGACACAGTGAGACAGTGGGAATCTCAACTCCCGCTTTGGGTTCGATGAACAACAGTTTGGATCTGGATTTGTTGCAGTATCAGGAAGCGATATTAATGGCGGCAGCTGATTCTGGTCTTATGAGATCAGTACTGGACACCACTTCCGGGGATGCTTCTTGTTGTCAAGCATATGCTTCTTCTTCACTCACTGATAGAACCGATGTTTCCCATCCAGTCACCGAGAACTTTGGAGCATCTGAAGAAGAACGAGTCATCAGCAACGTCCTCGATGCTCAGGATGGCATCTCGACCATCTTTTCTAGCTGCTGGAACGTGCATGGTTTGAGTTGCAGTGGTAACATTTCTTCTGGGGATTCTGAGCGCCATGGATATCTCTATCACCATCGATCGCGCCATGAAGATGTGGCCTCACAGGGTTCCTCAAAGTCAGACGCTCGGCAAGTCGAATCGCTTCAGGGAAGAAGGAGCACAAAGAGAAAATTCGTGGAGTCCACGAGAGCAGAAAGCAACAATATCTGCAGCCTCCTCCTCGAACCAAATTCTTCGACTAAGGAGGGAGGTCTTCAGATCAGTTTCACAAGGGCGCAGAAGTCGAAGAAGCTGAGATCAGAAAGGCACTCAGAGAGTTCGACCATCGAATTCGTTCGGGAAGGCAACTACGAGCCGGACGACGAGGCCATCGCGCAAGTGAAGGAGATGATCTACAGGGCTGCGGCTTTAAGGCCGGTGAGTTTGGTGGCGGAGGGGGCAGTAGAGAAGGCGAAGAGGAAGAATGTGAGGATATCGAGTGACCCACAGACGGTTGCTGCAAGGCATAGGAGGGAAAGGATCAGTGAGAGGCTAAGGGTGCTGCAAAGGCTGGTCCCAGGGGGCAGCAAAATGGACACTGCAACGATGCTCGATGAGGCTGCCAACTACCTCAAGTTCCTCAAGTCGCAGGTCAAGGCTTTGGAAACCCTAGGTAACAGGTTCCATCCGGTAAACAGCAGTAGCACCACAGCATCCTTTCCACTGCCTCTCAACCGGGCTTTTCCCATGCGGAACTCTCTCCTCCACCCAAAACCCTAACATGCGTCAAAAAGGTGAGGCACCCCACACATCATATTATTGTCTTCATCATTAGCTTGGGGTTTAGGGCTCGTGAACTCAATCCTGTTACTGGTTTAAACATGCTTTCTTCCAACCAAAAGACTGAAAATAAAGTTAAACCTTTTGATCGATCAAGTGATAAGTGTGTTCCTGCCTTTTTTTTATCTTGGTCACCTTTCCCAGCTTGCCAAGGTCTCTTTTCATGCTTGTAAAGCAGCAGTCTTGTTCCAACAGCCAGTAATATCATCATCATCCCTTCATCATTGGCTTTAAGTCGTAGCCTAAAGTCTCTCTTCTTTCAGTGGCCTTTCCCCATGCAAACCCTAAAGCAAATTATCATACAGTCATGAGTGCTCCTTTTGTGTTTCTGGGGAACATGGCGGTGAGCTTTAATCCAGCGCTTTTGATGCAGAAAGGGTTCAGGAATCATGACACCTATGATTAAGAGCCCAAGAGTACCTTGATGTGATCACCACTTCAAATTGCATTATGCTGTAACTCTGTCTGATCTGTCTTTTTTTCTTGGGTTGCTCAACCCTATGCTTAGCTTTCTCCATGATCTCAACCCTTTTCTTTTAGTCGAATTTTTGGAGCCCAGTGGCAGAGACATTCCCTTTGGGCCTCTGACCAAGTGGCAGACGGGACTGTCCCCCTAAATTCGAGCCAGGCGTGCCCTTGAGAAGGCCACCACATTTTGGCAGGCACATGGTGCAGAGAAAAAGGACATGCCTTTCTACAGTAGTCACCCTCCTCCCATCTCAACTGGCTGTCTTTCTCTTCCATCCTCCTTGACAGAGGCACTTTGATGTACGTATGTCTATTTGGATATGTAGTACTGTGTGTTATGTGCCCCTTTCTTCTCCAGAGAACATGTGTAGGTTTGGACACTGTTATTTTGCTTGTCTCCATCTCAAGGCGTCAATTATTTTGTCCTGTCTTCATCAACGATGATTACGATGATGTCAGTTCATCCTCAACCGCTGCTGCTTGCGAGTACAGTAGAATAACTTGAAATGAATCACCTTATTAGAGCAGAGAAGACAACAACGAGAACACGGAAGAACGCAGCCATCGGGTGAGGCCAACTGTTGCCTACTGATGAGGAAGTGACACTGGCAACCTCACGGCTCTCTCGGGACTTGGGAGTTCTGTCGGAAGAAGCCATGTTAGTAGCAAATAACAGGGACGGAGCTACAGGTTATTTGCTTTGAATTTTTATTTATTTATTTATGGACGATAGTGCGATCTGCAGTATTTTACATTATAACTTCAACTTGGTATAAGATATGGCTTCATCTTTTTCTGCGATGAAACCACTGTTCAAACTTCAGAAAAGGTTAAGAATGTTGGGTTGTTTCCTTGCAAGCCCATTAACAAATATATATTTTTTAATTCTTTAACAGAAATAAGATGCTCACAGGATAAGTTATTTAAAGAATAAAATATTCAAGTTTGCAATGAGTTATGCTGGGACAAAAACACCTGAAGAATTAAAATTCTCAAACTTGAAGATGATCCATGTAGAGCATTTCCCAAAAAATTTCATTGGTCTACAAAGGTTAAACTTTATGCTAAAATTTTACATGGTAAGAGGCAAGTGCTCAAACTTACCCACAAGGTGAGAGTTTCTTATTGCCTGCACCACGACGGTCGTCATCTTTCCAATCATCCTTTCTCTACCTCTACAACCTCATCCTCGGCCGTCGGCCTGGTGCCCTCGTGCCAGGAAAGAGTTTGCTTCCTCCATGAACTTGGAATTTCTCTCCTGCCATTTTTGCATCATCCCCATTTCATGTAATCCAGCTTCTTCGATACTCATGGTCGGTAATCTGTCTATATGGAAACATGAAATGGAGTTAGATGACCACCAATGTTCTTCATGGCGATTGAGAAGCATTCCTAGATGATATGTGCAAACTGACCACACCAAAACAAACTGATACCAGGATTATCACATATTGTACATGATATACAAACAGAAGAACTCTGACAACTTGCCACATATGGCATACATCAAAGACGAACCGGCAAAAAGAACCAAAGATTTAAACCATATCAAGTTCTGCAACGCATGTGTCTAAAATGAAAAAGAAAGCAAATAGGATTTAAGCTAAAGTTGCACATAAAGCATTCACCAGCTTTCAAACGAAAAGTAGAAGAAATACTAATATTTGAACAGAGCCTTGCTTTAAAATAGGACCTATATGTTCTTCAAGATATTGTCCCTCAGCTTCACACTAAAAAGGTGCAAAACCTATTGGCTGTTCTTTATATAGTAAATGTCCTCCCTCGTTTAACTATCAAGCCAATAAACATTTTGTTAGATGGATCCCATCAAGAACAACCACATGCTTCCTTTTAGTGATATTAACCTGATACCTTTCATGGTCATCATTAAATGACACTGGCTATTTTTACCAGTAAACATTATATGAATAGTGAATAGACAAGAAATAAATAATTATCTGTCGAGGTTACAAGGCATAACTATGACCTGGTTGGAAGACTTGGGCTGTCATTCTTTCTCTCACTAGTTAATCTTCCACCAATAAGGCTCCAAATACCAGTGGTTGGTGCTTGTGCTCGTGCTTGTGAAAGCTTCACTCTACCTTCAATAACATCCTGAGCAAAGGTCGCGCATGTGATAGGTTCTGCTGGTTTTGAAAATGCTGCTTGACTTGCTGCATCCCTATGCCAAGTCTCAGCCTGTTTAGTCCGCTCATCAAGGATCTCACGAGCAAAATCTTCTCCTCCCTGTATTACAGTTCAGTTGGAGTACAGAATTTTGGTTTTCAAAATTTTGTTGCCAATTAAACTAATAAAAATAGTGCATTAAAAAAAGAGATGCCAATAATTTGCTCTATCAAATTAATGAAAAGTTAATTAAAGAGATCCAGAACTGTTTTGTACAAGCAGAAAACATATTAAGAAGTGCATCATGAGAAGCATTAAAATACAACATGACTCAGCAAGTCAGCGATGCAGGCATTAAACATGACTTGGGAAAAACAGAAATTATTGATCCAGGCGGTAAGCATGATTCCATGGCTCAGGATTAATATTAGACTAAAGGAAGAAATGATCAAAGGCTAAGTTAAACAGACATCGCCTGCTATCAGGATGGATTGAATTCTCAAAGACAACTGAAAAGATACAATAACAGACACAGGACAGAAATTCAATGCTCTCACTCACTCATATCAATTATAACCAGCTAGGAGGTGTGCCTGTTGCATGACATTACCTTTGATTGCTTCTCTTTTGCAGCAATAAGCATCTCTTCCTCTTTCTTCAGCATGTACAAGAGATCAAAAGCCTGAAAGTAAGGCAATTCCAAAAATATCCATAAATACAAGAACAACTATTCATATTAACAGGAACAGGGCATTTCAAAATAGACAAAATAAAGAAATTTTCTGATCTGACCAAACTCGTGAGTCATGCCTGAAAATATAAACATAACTGATACTCAGAACTTAATAGTTAATACAAAGAATCAACATCTGGGTGCTATATAAACGGTATTTGCTTATATCATTTATTAACAGCTTTTCAACAAATTCATTGAGGTAAAATGCATAAAAACCAGTAGACTGCTGAAAAATGCACTGGAGACTCCAGATACAGGTGATATATGAAAAATGAAAATGGTTGAAACTTGAAAACCACCTACAATGATTTACATATAATGACCATTAAATATAGATATTACAGAACCTACTAATTTCTTATTTTAACAACCATTTAGAACTCGTGGAAGCATTAATGGTGTTGCTGCAGGAGCAAAATAATATGAATGTTTAAATTCAGATATAACAAGCATAACTGTAGTTTTACTAAGAAATAATCTGAGATGCTGCTTTAAAAATTAAAGCAACCACTGAGAAGTCTGTAAGAATGAAGCTGCCTCATTGTTGAAGTAGTCCAAAATGATCCTCTAGACAAAATTTTGGAAAGCCATCCAATGTAATTCCCTAAGCAAAGCTGAAAAATTGCGCAGACCAGTGAAGTCAGTCCTTTCACGAGATGAGAAAAATCCCAGCTATAATAATTAAAGGAATATAAATTCAACCGTTTCTAAGTGACACTTGAAAACTATGTTGCCATTCTTATTTTATCAGATTTACTGGTATTCTTACTTCATCAGATCTATTAATACTCTTAATTTATCAATTGTACTGATTAAATGCAACAGTTCAAAATGATATAGTGATTGTTTAAAAGGCTCCAAAACAGCAACCTAAATATTAAATCAGTTCGTTGGCTAAAGAAAAGTGCCGGCTGAAGCAAACAATGAGTGACTACTAAAATGGGATGTGATCTCCCGGAAGCACGTATGCACGTAAACAACTTTGCATCTAGAAAAAAAAAAAAACATGGTTTCTAGTAAAAATTCAAAGAAGTTTTCTCCAATGACATAAATTTTAAATATTTAAAAGATACTAACAAGACTAAACATGCAAATGCAAACATCAGACATTTATGAGAAATATGTTACACCGATGCTGTTCTAGTTAGTGTCTGTTTAATGAAAAAATGTAATTAATTAATCCAGAATTAGATTCATGCTTCATCAAATACAGCCCAAACTATGTATAAACCACAAATTATAAGGCATCAATTAAATACTTATTTTGAACATGTAATTAAACCACAAGGATACAGCTAGTATGACAATAATTTGTAATAACACCTAAACTTTGAACATGTCATTTAATAAATTTCATGTGGATTTTAAAGCTCAAAATAGATTGTCCAAAACCAATCTCGAGAAATTAAGATTTTCATGGTTATGAAGAGTCTGTAAGAGTGAGAAAGCAAACAAACCAAGATAAAAAGCTTATAATAGACATCAACCTGATTTTGTTGATTGTCGAAGAAACAGTAAAGAAAATTTGAATAGTTCACTTTCCAAACAAGGAATCAAACCTCTCTTTCCTCCTCGCCATCATCATCAAGTACATCTTCCTCCCTAGCTTCAACGGGTGAAGACAATCAACTCTCTGGAGTTTTGCTTCCCTCAGTGACTGCTGACGCCTCTCCTTTCTTTCTTTAATTTCTTGCAGCTTTGCTTCTGCACCTCTCTGGAGTTTGAAATGAGCATTCTAGTATTGATTTGATCAAAAGAAAAAAGAAACAGCATCATCGGAGGATAGACCTGGAGAGGCAGGGACTTTTTCATTTGTGTATAATATCATTTGTTTATGTAACATATTAACTAAGCTACATACAAATGATTGCAATATTATTTGCAAGGTGAATGGTGAACAACTGGATTATAAACTCAACCTGTTGCAGTATCAGATATAATGATATATAATGTTTCCCACAACTGTAAGAGCTCTTAGACTGAACGAGTGATTGAAGAAACAAACAATCAGCTGTGAAGTTTAATGTAGATCATTAAAGAAATGGAATAAAGGTTTGTACAAGGAGGAACAAGTAGTTTAATGTGCCTGCCCTAATTCACAATTGCCCTTTGTCAAACATATGCACAAATGAGTAACAAAAAAACAAAGTCAATAACATCTGATAAATTTACATTTTTTGGAAAGATGGAAACAGGAAATTATTGGCATAAACAAATATTTTTGGGCAAAAGAAATCAATATAGTTAAAAAGTGGTGAAATCACAAATGTTATATAAATACTCATCATGGCCTTCATTCCACAATTTTCAAATTTTAATTAATTTTGGATAATGTAAAGGAAAAGAAAATCATAAAGCTTCAAAAGTTTCATAACTCATAGCTCAGTACATGAAAGTAACTTGGTAAAAGAAGCAAATGTTAGAGAAAAAGGAAATCATAAGCCAGCAGATCATATTGTTTCTAACTTGCAACGGGTGAAGACATGTTTATCTTCCACTTTTAGAAATGGCAATGATTCACCTTTTTTGCCCTTTGAGTTGCTCGAGTGTCAGCACCTCCTTGACTAGAAGATTCTAACTCCTCTTCAGGGACAAGCTCCAAAGCTTCACAAATTGAAATGAACTCCTTCGATTGCATAAACAAAATAACAATCAAAGTAGCATCAGAATATGAAAAAAGGTATTACCTTAACAACAAGCAGATGGTAACCAAGCAAAAGAAATTGATGCTGTATCTGAATGTTCATTAACAAGTTCTCCAATACCAGCACTTAAGAAAGTTGGGTCCTACCTTCAAATGATTCTTAGAAATTTTGAGAACCATTGTTCTGTCATCTTCAGCAACTTTTTCTGTCAGTTTTCCAATAAAAAATGGGACCTAGAGAATACCATAAAATCCTTGAAATAAAAGATTCATAAATTTCACTAGTCTATCTTTAGAGAAAACGTATATGTGACTGTTAACATGCAGATGATAATCATAGGTAGTGACTAATATCTTGGTCATCAAGACACATGATGCATCATAGGACAAGCCATAGTGTCACGGTAACGTTGCTGCTTCGCAGCCTGGGTGATGAAGGTTGAAATCATGGATACAACATCTCTGCTTAAAGAGTAAAGCTGTATACGTTGACTCCCCATGGACCCAACATTGACGAGGATCTCGTGCATTGGGCTGCTTTTTTCGGATACGTCATGCAGCTATGAGCATCAATGGGCTGAATGGCCTAGATTTTTATCCACTACCAACACATCCAAAAGCTTAAGTCATATACCTGAACGGAACACTTACCGATAAGTACTTCAGGTTAAGCGGTGCTAACATCATCCTTCGCCTCATTCGACCAGAACAATCCCAATTTGGTTATCATCTCGTCACAGAGCCGCAACGCCTGGATTCCCTTCCTCAGAACCTCCTGCAATTCGAATGATTCCAATTCTCAATCAAAAGGTGTTAAAACATTGCACCAATCGTAACACTAAAAAATGAACCAAGATTCCAAATTCGAAAGAGGAGAAATAACCGACGCCGTGGAAGAGAAATCGATGTATTTTTAGGAAGGAAAACAAAAGAAAAGAACCTGATCGACAGAGGATTCGGAAGCCATGGAGTGGAATCTTCGAGGCCTCCTCGAACAGCATCGGAAGATGCATGCCCTCCCTCCATCTGCCACTCCCACGTCGACCCAATCGATGCCGAACGAGGTGGACTACAAACCCTCGATACAAGATTCGAAGCAAGAAATCAAAGAACAAGGCCGCGAGGAAGCGAAGAAACAGGTGAATAGAAAACGTGGGCCGAGCCGGGCTTTCCAAAGATACCCAAATCCAGTTTAAGAGTATCCGAGTATCCAAAAAATTTCTGGCCCTCCGCCAATGTTATTTAACGTTATGGATGATTACCGGTGTAATATGCATTAGTACTATTGTCTCTTGACAACAACCACTTTTCAGTTGGGGACTATTCTGCGCTTCTCAACCGCTGCAGACTGTCAACTTGATGTATAAAAGAAAGCACGGCCAAACTGATAAGATCCCCCCATGCATAATTAGATTAATAGCATGCAGGAATGAAGATATTTTCTTTCTTTTCCTGTTCATACTTTCCATAGAGTTTCACCGGCCTTCGTGTGCATAAGAATTGCACGTGAACCTTGTACAGCAGAAAACTTGTCTTGCATAAGGAATGACCCCGATGAACATGATCTGTGCCACTCCATGAACCCACAAAATATGGGCCTAATACGTGATCTTACCTGCCATAATCCAAATCTGGGTTACATGTAACTATAGAGTGCAATTAAGTGGGAACAACCAGCCAATGGTCCAGCCGAAGAGCAACCCTGCACCAACCAGACCCAACCCGACAGCAAAGAGAACTGCATATTTGCACATACTGCAGTTGTGCTTTTTCCTCACTTTCCTGCTGGTTATCTTATCTTTGCTGAATAATTTCTCCTTCGATGGCATCCATGGCAGCACAGGAACAAGTGTCGACAGCTGATGGTCCTTGATCTTGAGCTGCAGACAGAGGTTCTCGAGCTGCAACATCAGTAGCCACTGCTTGTATGCAAATAGGTGTGATGCCTCTCTAAACAACAGCTTGACTATGTGCTCCTTCTCATCGAATGCTTTCTGAGCTGCCATTTCAGCTTTCCTAGCTCGGGTCTGGGAACGGCGAAGTGCGTCCAGCAGCTGAGCTCTCGTACGGTCACTCTCGGATGGCTGGTTGATTTCATGGTGTTCCATATTTGAGCGGCCTTGTGCATGGCTGCATAAGATTGCTTTATCAGAAGATACTTCAGTAAGCATTGTTACCAACAAAAACATTTATTCAAAACAGAAAAGCACAACAAAAGTTGCTGTAGTTAGTAACAAAAACTTATTTTTTGTTCCAAATTAATAAAACAAATAAGGACAAGTTGTTTCCAAGTTTTTGAATGTTAGCTATACTGATGATTCTGACAACTGAGCTTGATAAAAAATAATGGAATTAGGAAATTTAAAAACCATGAGACTGTTTCCAATCAAATAATCCAGAGTCTCCAAGATGAGCTAACTCAATATGCTATATTAGTGAACTTGTACTTATCTGGGAATGATCATATCGTCTTAATTGATTTTCTCTCAAATTAATCTGCATATGACTAATACATCAGGTGGGTTGTGTATAGGTTCAAAGTATTGACATGATCATAAAAAGATTGAGTTTTGAAAAGAATTATCTTTGCATAAGGACTGAGTTTGGAAAAGAATTTTCTTTGTATAAGCATCTCAATCTTGCAGAAACAAGCCTAACCCATAGTGTTGCCACCCTTAACTATCATAAAGAGATTTTCCTTCACGATTACTCTTCTAATTTATAGTTTAAATATAAGGTCACTTCAATGTCACACTTTAAATGCTCCTCTCCATTTGACTATTCCATTTTAGTTTTATGAACATGTCTTCCTCAACCTCCCATTCCTATTCCATTTTAGTGACAAATTAAAGAAATAAATAGCGTTTTTTTAACTCTTTAGACTGAAGTCAAATTATGCCTTCCATACTGCCACTGATGTTTTTTTAACTCTTTAGACTGAAGTCAAATTATGCCTTCCATACTGCCACTGATGTTGCTACAGTTGCAATTTATATGGTTGATCATTCTCCACAATTTGCAAAACTTAGTTTCAAACGACGGTCATGGTTATCCAGACTTCAAGCACATAATCAAGACAATGTTCTTTGCAAACAACAGATACTCTATATAACTTTTCCATTTTGATCAGAAATAGATAACATCTTAAGGCTAACTGTTAATTCAACACCATAGCAAATAGTGACTAAATTTTGGGTTAATGCAAACAGAAAAATGACATGGTGCAGTCACAAAACAATCACAAAGTTCAGCTGAATGATAAAAACAGAGAACAAGCTGCACAGTGTCTTGCCTGGACATTTTGTCTGAATCAATCCACATATGGTCTCCTTCGTCAGAAGAAAGGTTCTTGTTGCCAGAGATCCCATAAAAAGAGGTATTATCAGAATATTCATTGGCATTGCATATGCCAGCATTTATGTTTCCACTAAATGATGATTGAAGTCTTCCACGAGTATTTAAATTATCAGGAGAAGAAAATGGGTCCCTAGCAACATGAACGGTCTGGGTGGGTTTAGGTAGATCACAGTTTTCAATATGCTGTAGTGATTTTTGGGCAACCAATGAAGCCAATTCATCTTTGTCAGCAATATGCCACCACGGCTCAGACTTATTAACTCCAGCCCGAGGTGTTTCAAGATCCAAAGAATCCTTCTCTAACCTCTTCGAAATTAATCGATCAACTAACTTCAAATCAAGAAGCTGTTCCTCGTTATAGAGATAATCATACATATCTGTCTTCCGCTTCAGTGGATGCTGTGAAGAACTGGCCATAATATTCATCTCTTTGACACTTGTTTCAGGTCCATGCTTCATGAAAGCTGTTGATACAATCCAAGGAGATTCCATAGAACTCTCTTCATTTTTTAGAACAAGGTTGATAGAGTCAACTGGTGAAGAGTCCCCATCCATTTTTGATGTTGGTATTGTAGTTTTCATGTCCTTCTCATCAACTTCATCTCGTGAGAAGCAAAGTTGCTCACAGATAAAATCCTTGTGGTATACATAGTTGGGTTGGATCTGAAGCCACCATTTCGTTTCAGGTGATAGATTAGGATTCATTTGATTCCTGTTTAAAGGAATGAAATTGGCGACAGGACAGTCATGTGTGCTTGCTGCATTCCCATTGCTTGAATCAGTTTGTGGTGTTGATGATGGACAGCAAGCTAATTTTGGAGCTCGCTTTGCATCTTCCTGGACTAGGCAACGGTTTAAAGTGCGCTGCCAAGCATGCCTCGCTTCTGCAGCTGCCATTAGTGGCTAATTACCTCAAATAACTTGTTATATAATTTATCTGCCATAGGCAAACAAGTCAGTGTTATGTCTCCATTTATGAGAAAAATTGAATAATTTCTCAAAAATAAGTCTATCAGCATAACTCAAATTCTCCATGTTATACAACACAGGCGAAAGCAACAGAATGGTGTAAGACAAAGACTCAAGAAATTTTCTTAGAGGGATCCATAAATAATATCCTTGGTATAATTTTGGGCGGCTTGAAGAATGAACCAAAATATAACATGTCCAAACCAAAATGAAAAGACAAATCCCAATTAAAGATCGGCTGGATCAACAAATTCAGATTGACCTATCTGGACTAATATGGCAAATCCTATCTATCGCAGTTCAGTCTGGTTCAAGTTAATTACACAAAGGTCAGGTGAAATAAAAATTGGCTAGTCAAATTTTTAATTGGTTCAATCAAACTTAAACATAATATACTAAATTCACACATGAATTTATTAACTTGTGCAGTTCAGAAGTCATTATATAGATTTAGGAATTACAACAGGTTTAGGCTAAACTAATACCAGTATAGCTCAAATTTGGGCCACTTTCGTAATACTTGATCATAGACCCAATAGATTCACCATGAATCATCTATTTTTCACCAAGCCACCAATATATGAGCTAGATTTTGTCAGTTTCAAGAGCAGAGCTATTTGATTGGAACAAGTTTGTACTGTAATAAATCATATAATTTTTTACATGGTTTTAGATTATAACTAATGTTCTCATTGAAATCTTGGTTTAGATGCCTCAATTTGTTCATGGACACTCATTAATTTTTTCTCTTGTATTTCTCTTTCTCTATTGATACATGTAGGTACATAGATATTCCTTCTTTCAAGATATTCATTTTAGAAAAGATCCCTACCATTACAAGTGATCCAAAGTACACACTCAAGAGACTAATCTACAGAACGATATAGTCCAAAACCTCCCTTGTCAAGAAAGGGTTTAGGTTTTCCTCAGCTTGATGACATCCAAATATTATGCCAAGATACTACAACAAACAATAAGGAGAAGACTAGTATGTAACATCATTACCCTAGAAATCTAATAGACTAGCAGCTTCAGTGATCAACAGAACAGAAACAAAAAACGTTCAGCAATCATTTAAATCAGGCAATTGAACACGCAATAATGAACTAAATTTGGAGGACACAAGCTAAGAAGACAAACAAAATATTCTCAACAAAACAGAATCATTTACCAGATTAAGTTAGTTACCTTTCAATCATCGACATCTTGCCCAATTGAAACAACACAAAATCCAAAGAATTCCAACAAGAAAAAGAACTCAGAGGCTACGATCACAGCCGACACCTCTAAATCTCAAGAAAACCACCAGACAAACAAGAAATCGAGACCAGAAATCTTCACCGGAAAAATAAGGAAGAGAAGAAGGAAGCTTACGAGGCAAGAAATTCCGGAAACTAATGACCAGGGATCGTCGGGACCAAGAGGCGTACTACAGAATTGCACGAGCGCGGAGGCTCAGAGAGCAGGAGGAGATAAAAATCCTTCCTCGATGAATCCGAATTCATCGCTGCCTCGATAAGACGGTGGTGATTAAAAAGGAAACACGAGGAATGATCGGCCTCCTCACTTCCAAACGCCCTCCGCTTTCTCCCTGCCTTATTCTTTTATTTCTTGTTCTTTTTCTTCTAATTAATGCCCCTTTTTTAACCGGCCAAAACCACCCATTTCCCTCTAAGCTACTCGACATCGCGCCAACAGGACACCCGTCGCTCGAATAGCCTCTCACGCGGGCCCCGCCAGACGTATATTTTATACTCTGTGGTGGGTCCGCCAATGACATCTTCTGTAGATAACGTTGAGATTAAATTTCCCCCAAATGCCACGCAGCATACAATAAGATAATAGGAATTAATAAAAAAATAATTTATCAAAAAAATATCTAGTATTGAACTTTTATCTGGTACTGATTAATTTTTAAGAAAAAAAATATTTTTTTTAATTTTAATAATACTCTTGAATCGAGTTAAATCATATATCCACGAGAGCCCATTCAATCTGATCTAAGCATCACAATACATATTCAAGGATTGGATCGAGTCCAAGTATAATATATTAGATCGAATTTTATTAAATCAATGAACAAATATAATCCGAGTGTAATATGAGAATAAATCGAGTATAACTAATATATTTTCATCGTATCAATCCAATTTTTTTAAAAATTACTAGCATATGATTTTAAATTATTTAATTTTTTATGATTTTAGAGTGAATAATTTTTAAATAAATTATTTTTAGGTTGAATTGGTGAGTATAAGTCATTAAATTTTCATCAAATTTATCCAAACTTATTTAAAACTATTAAGGTGAGATGATAATATATTTAGTATTAATTTTTAAAATAATATTTTTTAGTTGAATATGTAATTGAGTATAATTCTTTGAATTTTCACCAAACCTATCGAAACATATCATGAACTCTTAGTGTGACATTCTAATATATTTAATATTATTTTTTTATTTTTTAATAAATTTAGGGTGATTAATTTTTGAAATAAGATATTTTAGTGTTGAATATATGATCAAGTATAACCCGAATATAATTCAAGCTATTTTTGATCAAACTAATTCAAACTTCTCCGAAATTACTAATAATGATTCTGAGATATATAACATCATTCCTTTTAATTTCTTATAATTTTTTTATAACTAAAAATTTAAATAAGATATTTTTGGATGAAATATATAATCGAATATAACTAGAGTTAATCTTTACTAAACCAATCCAAACTTCTCCAAAATTACTAACACATTATTATAAGATATTCAACATCATTTTTTTTTTAAAATATAGGATGATTAAAATTTTTAAATAGAATATTAGCCTCCTAAGAAATGTGATACGCTCCTAGGCAATACACTATTAGATGCTGGCTGAATACATTACCTAGTGGGTGGTATCATTTGTTTGAGAAATTTTTTTTATTGAATATATGATCAAGTGTAAATCGAGTATAACTCAAGTTAATTTTCATCAAATAAATCCAAACTTCTCTCAAACTATTAAGATATATTTTTTTAATTTATTATATATTAAGAATAAATTTATATAAAAATAATAATATTTTTTAATATATTCTATGAAATAGTATAACTCGATTTTAACTTAGTGTGCTGACTTTTTAGGTAATTTATGATAATTTTATATAGAAATTAATATATTTTTAATATATTCTATAAATAAATATAACTCAAGCATAACTCGCAAATGTAACTTAAGTGTAACGGCTAATCTAGATAAACTATGAGAAAGCGAAGGAGGAAGAGGAGAGGGAGGGAAGGAGCAATGGATAAAAAGATGAGGAGGAGGAGGGGGTGAAGGGGGTTGACGAAGGAGAGGAAGAGAAGGTGGAAGCGAAGAGAGAAGTGGAGTAGGAAGAAAAGGAAACCAAAGGAGTGGGTGAGGAGGTGAAAACCAACGAGGGAGGAGGAGCTAAGTAGAGGTGGAGGAGGTATGAGATAATTTAGAAAATTCATTGAGCAATCTATGGCTCAATTAAATTGAATAGCTAGTGTTTAATTGAATTGATATGGTATGATTCATCTTTAAAAACTTAGTTTATTTCTAAAAAATTGAGTCAAATGATAGATAGATAATCATCATCTTTTTATGATTTTATTAATGGTATTTTGATCAAAGTTAAAAAAGAGTACCCTTTAGTAAAAATCAAATAAGGAGGTGTTATCTTATCACGGACTTAGTTATATTTATCTAAGTCATGCGATACACTTCTATGTCTATCTACAAATGATCAGTCTTCTTGAAACTTCTTATGATCCTCTAAGGATCTACAAAAGAGAAGACGAGTTAGAGGAAGCATTTAACTCAAGATCCTATAAGTAAATATTTTAACAAACACTTATATACAATTCAAACTTAGATACTATCTCAAAGGCCTATCAAGTCATGTGGCACCTGTATAGCTCTAGAGTATTGTGTTGGTTGATACTTCGTACTACTCTGTGAAGCTAGAAAACTCCTCAAATAACTACTTGGATAGTTTATTTTTTAGTAGTTTTACCTCTATACGATGACCGCACATAACCTATAATTATAAGACTAAAATGACCATAAAAGCTAACCAAAATAAGACTGTTAAGCTTAATACAAGCCTTCTACATGTTATGTAAAATATAAACAAAATCGAAAGACACTAATACTCAAAATATTACATCGAACACTTTGTGTATAAACTTGTCCATAACATTTTCCCTCATTTATTCATTCAATATCTTCGTTGAAGCCTTTAAGAATATTACCTCATTTTACCTTTGCTGCATCCATAATCTTATGCTCTAGCTATAACGTTCCTTTAGACTCCCAATTGCTATTCATCGTTGTTATTGAGTAATTCAAACTTTGATTCGCCAACATTGCTTCAACTTACAAGTGACTCTAATTTTGGTGTAGTATTGATTGAGTTATACTAATCTTTGTTGGTTCTTTATGAATCCCTTAGATAAAGAAAAATATTTTCCTATCATGTACTAATTCCTCAAACATCTTTGTCGACTAAACAGGATAGGTGCTTGTTCGAGTTTTAACGAATTTCATTTTGCAGACTTTAAAGTTTTGAAGTTTTTCCTTCATAAAATTTGTCCATTGATTTCTCTTATGCTTAATTTTCACCTATAAGTAAGTATGCATCATATTCGTTTTGATTGATATTATATTTAAAAATGAAGTGAACAATATATTTTCGATAGAACTAATCATTATTGGTAAAGATTTAACAATTTTTATGTCATTATGTCTCTTGGAAGAGTATTTAAATAATTACATAGCTCCTCTGCCAAATAACTAAGAGTATTTGACAAGTAAATGCCTCACTCATTCTATTAAGAGTTAAAAAGATAAATGTGATTTGACTTCACCCGTCTCCTCGAGAATTATACTTTATGTATCAAGCTAATTATTAGTATTCATTTACTTTTCGCTCACACTTTTAAAATACTTAAAATCTTTGCACTCCTTGTATAAATTAGCTACTAGTATTTACCTTCGTATTACAATCAAACTTCTAGAATGCAAGAATTTTACTCTAAAAGAGTAAGATTTTGCCTTGATTGGAGCAAGTCTATGTTGGTTTTGGTTACATGTGGGATCATATCACATTCTCTATTAATTTTATTATCTACTCCTCTAAGCAAAAAAAGTACAATACCACATACTACCTACTTCGTTCCTTGATCGAGCACTCCTATATCAACCCAAAGTCCCTCATTTTCGATTATTTTGATGAGAGGTCTGCCAACACCAATCTTACGAAGTTTCTTAACCTCTACCCTTTTATTTTGTCTTAGTACTTAGAGTTTGCTTTATATTCTCCACCTCCTTAATACTTTTCACAACCATATATTCTCTCTTAATGAGAACAAGAGATCGATGACTCCATGGAAATCTTATCTCTATGGTACCAAAGTGCTTATATACTTATGGCTCTACTATTCATTACTTCACATCTGTATTCCTTTTCGTTGCACTCAATAAATTTACCTTTTATGGTGTCATGTCCCTTCTTTGAATCCATGTTCATTCTAATCGATACTTAGTTTTGGACAACTAAGTTCCTCTAGACTTATCATTACCTTCTTGCCTCTTTCAACCACTTGCTTCAATACTTTTGTGTTCTTCAAGTAATTCCCTTTGGTTAATGAAAAATGTATTTAACTCATGCATTGCCTATGCCATCATGTTGCAGGCTAGCACCGATTCTATTCTCCTTTACATCATTGGTAGCAATGTTCACTCGCTTAGTCTTATCCTTCGACTTATCATACTTTTTCAAATGAATATGAGTTATGGAGTAGTCCAATGCCCTAGCCACTATGATCATACCTATATATGATTAAGTCCCCCCATGAAACTCATTGGTATTTGCACTCAAAATTCTCCCTCAATGGTACACACAACAAATATATCTTTGTGATATCATGACATTCACTCCTTAAATCCATAACCCTTCTTGTTTTTTTGTTGCTCACCAAAGTGGAGCTCCCAATGGCTCCTAATCATATCTCCATATAAACAAGTCCCTTATGAGACTTCTCCAGTGTTGTTAAATTATCTCGTCCTATTCCATCATATCGTAGGGCTTTTATTATATTCAATTATGTATGCTTTTTTAGCAGTCGACTTTTGTCTACCCGCTCTTGGATCACACACAAATGAAGCACAGCTTTTAGATAGTTTATCACCCAATAACTCTTGAAATCCATTAATTTTATTAAAATTAGTGCATCATTGTCTGGATCTTAGGCCTTTACCTCTAGTACAATCTTCGTTATGCATAACTTCTCTTTGCGATAATTTAAATGGTAGTACTATGACATATTCTTAAAGAATATCTACCTCTCGCATCCTCTTATCTTGAGCTATGGCCTTTTAACTCCAACTTCAACTCTGCAAATTGAGTTACCTTAGTCTCTCTATCAATTGATTCACCAAGATAAAGTGCATGTGCCTCGAAGCTCACTTCGACTTTGGCACTATGCAAAATGAGCCTACTCTATCAAAATAAGGAACTTATAAAATGACATGATTCCACTCTTCTCTGTAAAAGTTTATGTTTTTGACCTGTGTCTAAGGAAAGCTTTACATATTTCCTTAATGTTTTGTCTTTTATGTTAGCACCTTTTATGTGGTTTGATACTTAACCAAGTTTTACCCAAGTTGCTACTCTCCTCAATTCGCATTTAGATGATGGTAGCCCTTGCATCCACCACTCCATGGGCCGACCAACCTTCTATTGAGATTGATCTCCACATTGACTCTAAGTATACCTTCGTTTGGAGTTACCTTGGGTCACTCTCCTATTTGATTTCACAATGCATCTATCAATGCATCACCTAATGCTAGATTATGTGATAACTTCTTGTCACTTGCTTAGTTTGTTAAGCTTTGTAGAACTTCCATCTTAAGGTACCTCCCTCAACATTTTGGTCAGTTGAATATGATTCTCCTTCTAGAGAACTAAGATTTATCCTTCTAGAGCAACTTTCTTTTCTATATCTTTTCCTTTAGAAGTTTTAGAGACCACCATCTCTTTAGCCTTACTAAATAAACCATGCATTATTTCATCATTACAAATGCATTTGCTATACTGTGACTCTTTACAAACAACTCCCTATGTTCTTCTCAAGGCCTAAAAATGTGTTGAACCCGTTGTACACTTCAGCTTCCTATAAACATATCCTTTTTATACCGAAGAGAAAGTTTTCATATTTTATAGCATCGAGTTTCGATCATCTTGGGATAGTCATTGATAGTTTGTCGCTCGCATATAAGCCCTTGCATGAGTACTAATTTTTTAAGTTTTTTTCTTACATTTATAAGCCTTGCGTAACTTTTTCGATCACTGAGAAACTCATCCCTCTTTATATGGTGTGTTCGTTGATAGAAGATAAGATTTCCCCAACTATATGAGAAAATCTTATCTATTTTGTTGAGGAAAATCCTCTATTCTATTGAGGAAAATCCTCCCTCCTAATCCCTATAAATAGGAGAGGGACATGCTAATGCATTTAAGCTAAAGCTTCTTCAATAAAGTTTCTTTATTTTTTCAATAAAGCTTCTTTCCTCTTCGGCGAACGGCAATTGTCTTCTCCACTGCCACTTTGCCCCAACGTCCGTTCCCTTCATCTGTGGCGTCTCTAGTGCTGTGCTCACCAGCATTGCCCCACCTTTTCCTATGTTGCAGCTTCCTCCTTTGTTGTAGTAGCATCACTGCAACATTATTGTAGATTTCTCCTCTACCATCATCGCAGCCATCGCAGCCACAACCGTTGCCGTCGCAGCCACAACCGTCGCCAAAACAGCCACAATCGTCGTCGTCGTAGCCGCAACCGCTGCCATCGCAATCGCAACTGCCGTCGTCGTAATCGCAACCATCGCCATCGCAATCGTAGCTGCTGCCATCGCAGCCGCAACCATCATCGTCAAAACTATAGCAACAACAATAGCAGCAGCAATATGCTCTTGCCCTACTCATGAAGCCTCTCGCTTATAAATCATATTTTGTATCGATCCTGGTATCCTTGTTAGGAGCACCATCTTGCGGGGGCATGATAGAAGATAAGATTTTCCCAACTATATGAGGAAATCTTATCTATTCTGTTGAGGAAAATCCTCTATTCTATTGAGGAAAATCCTCCCTCCTAATCCCTATAAATAAGAGAGGGACATGCTAATGCATTTAAGCTAAAGCTTCTTTAATAAAGTTTCTTTACTTTTTCAAAAAAGCTTCTTATCTTCTTCGCTCCTTTCCCTGCGTCTCTATGCTTATTTCCATCAAATAGCGTAGTTCCACTAAGTCCCTCCACATTTGCATATCAAATATTTTCAAATGTACTTGTTTTACTATGATACCACATATGATGAGCTTGATTGTTTTTGTTTAAGTCGTACAACATCATTATGTGTTCATTCATAAAGTGTCAACCTCTCCAAAACCTTTTATGATCCCTTGAAGACCTATAAAACTGAAGGGTTTAAAGAAGCCTTTAACTCAAGATCCTACGACCAAATATTTTAGCAAAGATTTGATGGACCATGTAAATTATAATCGTAAACTTTGAACGATCACTCAACAAAAAGTCTAAGGATATCCACTAAGATCGAAAGTCCCCACAAATACTTATATGACACTATTAGGAAATAAAACAATAAACCAGCCTTATACACTATACCAAAGACCCATCCAGCCATTTGTCACCCGGGTAGTTCTATGGTGTTCTACTGATTGATATTTTATACTACTTTATAGAGTTAGAAAACTCTCAAAATGGTTGCTTGGATAGCCTATTTTTGGATAATTTTATCTCTATATGATAATTACACATAACGTGTATTTACATGACTAAAATGACTATAAAAGTCAACCAAAATAGGGCTACTAAGCCTACTATAAGTCCTCTATATGCTATGTAGTAAAGCATGAATAAAACTAAAATATATGAATACACAGAAATATTATATCGAATACCCTATGTATAGATTTATTCATATGGTAAAAACTCATTACAAAGGCCTTTTTAATAAAATATCCATTAATAAATGATTTGGATGTGCAATTAAAATCCAAAGTAATGTTTAATGGATGATATATAACCAGCGAATACATGTCATGCCACTAATGATATAATATGATTTCTATATAGGTTTAATATGTTGTAAATTAAATGAAGGGTGATTTTTTGAAAGAAAAAAAAATCTTAACTTCGAATTTTTCTAACAGAGTGTCCCAAGTATGAAAGAAAAAAATTAATATCTGAAATGATCATTTTATCCCCATAATTTTAAAAAAATTTCGTTGCAACCCTAGTCATAGTCGTGCCTCTGTTTGCTCATGGTTGGCTCGCCCGTCGGCACTCATGCGAAGGTGCAAGCGGGGAGGAGTAGGTAGTCAAGGTGATAGAAAGAATAGAAGATAAGATTTCCTCATATAGTTGGGGAAATCTTATCTTCAGAGGGGGAGGTAGAGGAGTGATGACCGATAGGGTAAAATTATTATTTTTGAAAATAAATATTTTATCTGAATTTTTTAAACTTTGGATGTTTTGTCAAAAAAAAAAGTTAGATATTTTTATTAGAATTCACCCTTAAATGAAATTACGTCAGTAAAAGCTATAAATATCCTTAATTGATTGGTTTAAGGATGTGCAAAATTGTAACCTAGATGGTTGATTAATCCAGGGGCCATTTGCCTCTTGTCGATTCGAGTTGACCCGAATCCATAACTCGGAGGATCCAATGGGGTCGGTGGCACCGTGCAACCAAATCATGGCCCATGGAGTTAGCGTCAAAGGATGCTTAATTGATCACAAACCAAGTGTTCGTCCAAACGGGTGTTCCTTGCAGCAGAATTCTCTACCGTGGGGCGTCAAAGCATGTCAAGTCTTGGTAGAAAATAAAATTGGTGTGGGAAATGAGAATGAACCAATGGAATGCATGGGGGGGGGGCTGCCACTACAATAAGTTCGATCGTCTCAACCACTGATTGCAAAGGGAGCATCGGAGATTTCCCTTTTGTCAATATTCAAAGCTCTTAATGGTCATGGGTTTTATTTTTTATTTTTTATTTTTTATTTTTTTTAAAAAAAATAAATAATATCAATCAAATTTTAAGTTTATTTTTTTTAAATAAGAAATATGCAAAAGGCTTTGATCGAAAAGTGGAGATATTAAAGCACTTTCAAACTTTTCTGATCATCAAGTAACCTTTCTCTCGTATATTAAGAGGTGAAGAAGGATTAAGTGGAGCTAACAAAACACACAGCTTGATGTGCCCATTTTTAGGGTTTAGGGTTATTATTGTTGGTATCGGGAGACATCGCCGGCCTCGTCAATTTCCGATCTTGGTCCCGTTTTCCAGGTCGTCTTTTAAGCTTCCATTCGTATTCACGAGTCCCATCTCCATCTTCTGCTTCCGTTCTTTCATCTGTTGCACCGTCGATCCACGGTACATCATGTACAGTATCAGCTGACCGACTGCAAATGCCACGCCCAAGCCATTTGGAATCTGAAGATAGCAAGCATTTTTTAGGCACTCATTATGCAATACATTACGATCCAAGGTTTAATTAATTAGTATATGGTCACAATTTATCGTTATTTTGTGAAAATTAATCACCTGATGGTGTTCTCTTAATCTGGAATGAAATCTATGTTCTGAGCTACTCTTTCGACCCGACTACTTACCTTGCTTGCCATGGCCCCACAGGTGGGTCCCGCTGTTTATCCAAATGGATAGTGGTCAACCGATAGTTGACCACGAGGGGTCTTTTTATTTTTTATTTTCGTTGAAAATATATATTTATATTCAGCAAAACAAAAGGGGAAATTTAGTGTCGGTGGGAGGAGAGAGAGTTACAGTGATGAAGAGGTCAAAGCGAATGAGAGCGTAGATCGTCCAGCATATGCCATTGAAGAAAGAAGCAAGCGAAAGGAAGAGAGGCATGAACTCCACGCTCTTCGTCTCGATCACCTGTTTCTGTACCCATGCAAACACTTGTAGTTCAGCACAAATCCTACTCCTCTCATTAGCCTAACTACTCGAGAGTGCAACAATGGCATCTATTAGTTAGGAAGAAGGAGAATGCATTATGAGGCAAGCCATTTATGCTGTCTTCTATTTGTGTGTGTGTGTGTGTGTCTATATATATATATATATATAGAAAGAGAGAGAGAGAGAGAGAGAGAGAGAGAGAGAGAGGAGATGCATGCAACTGCGTATATTACAGTTCCGAAGACATACCATCACGGATAAGGGAGACGCGTACATGAGGGTTCCGAAGATTACACAGAGCACACCGACGACCAACGAGCGCCGCACGTAGCCGTGGACGATGGTGAGGACGACCGCGGCTACTGCACCGACGAAAAGGATCTCGATAATCAGCACCAGTAGCACGCGGAGCCTCTGGTTCCTCTCGGAGTAGAGGAGGAAGATGATCACGTAAGTGAGCTCGATGACGAGGCCGGAGCCGTTGATGGTGAGGACTAAGGTGCTGTGGGGGTGCACCATGGGCAGGCCGTACAGTATCCAGAACATGCAGTTGAGAAGGGTGGCGAGGTAGGGGGTGGCGTGGAATTGCTCCACGCTTCCGCTCTTCCATATCCTGCGGAATGTTGGGCTGACAACAAGAGATCGAGTCAAGTTACTGGGCACAAAACTATATAAGGGTAGTGCTTGTGCTTACGCTGGCGAGAAGAACAGCACGAGGGCGGTTCCGTTCCCTGCAGAAGCCAAAGAGGCAGCAATTACATGACTGCAGAATAGCATAGCACATAAACGATTTTAAATAGGCTACAAATTATGCTATTTCCATGCTAAGGGAGAGAAAACTGTGACTGGGGGTGTTTTTTGCTTCTCAGGAAAGTACAAAACGAATGTAATGGTGGCCAGACAGTGGAGAACAGCCTTCTCCCCTTCTCTCTATCTCGCCAATGGAATCAATGGGGTGTTCACTCGACACAAAGATGGCAAAACAGTGATGATATCTGAATGCGCACTATAAGGTTGCACGCATGAAAACATCATCAGATGACCACCATTGCCACAATAGGAAGGATGAAGAACTCCACGAACCTAGGATCCCAAACACTGTGCGAATTGTATCGGCTGAAATCCTCATCATGCAAAGAAGAACCAAACCTAGGAACTTCTGTGCTTCTCTAATATAGCGACGATATCTGAAAGACCGAACGGAGAACAGTATATATAGACGCGAATTAATTATTGTCAATTAAGAAAGATAGCGAGAGAGAGAGAGAGAGAGAGACAGACAGACAGAGAGAGGGTGTTAGGCTGTGCTTCTTTCACCGGTCTCTCTCTTTTAGTTGTGGTCCTGGACGGCTTGAACTCCTCTGGTGTAAGATAGACGCCTTCAAAGTATTAATTTATTGTTTGACTTCTCGTTTTACCTCCTCGGTGTGTATAGCTTTAACCTCCACAACAATGGTCTTTGGAATTCCTTCGCGTCTCCATGACTTATGTGACACAATACCATGAGCATATCGGTCATTCAGCGTAATAAATGCCAATAAAGTTCATGAGATCCGTGAAGGTTCAGATTTCCCTTATTGTAGTTCTTAGTATGGTAAATACTAATCACCATATACTCGAACACACAGAGAATGATGCCTTATCAGACCTTAAAGGAACCGACGACTCACTCGAGCACAAAGCGAGGAGATGTTGATGGTATAGATGAAAAGTTTTTTGTTTGTTTCCGTGGTAATTATATTTGCAACACCAATGCTTGGTTTCCATCAGAAGGCTATATAATCTGGTGTTTAATGCCCACCAGAGGCTACATGTTATGGGATCCCAACCCATGTGCATGTACATGAATGCACAGTGCATACCTTCTGTCTCTTGTGCCTCGTGGAGATTCCAAATTCTTAATCTCTTTTTATTTTAAAGGGCCCCATTTGGTGCATGTCAATTTCTGGGCACCTTCTGATAACTCAGAAATGTATGCTTGTCTGCATTCTCCTCCTGTTTGAATTGCATTATAGTATACAACCTCCTCTCCATTACGTCTCTAGGAATTTTCTTCACTGTTGAAGGATCCTCGAACACAATTCTTACACTGAACAGATGACGCACGTCAGTGAAAGAAGGTGGCGTAAGAATATATGCCGAGTTCCCATCTTAGATTGCTGAGCATATATATGTATAGTCCGAATCCCCAATAGGTACAATGAAGTGCCGAATATTTACTGTGCGTTCCCGCAGTAACCTAAACTCCGAACTGTACACGATTCTCCATCGCAGAGAGTACAGACGCAGGCAGGCTTTGGGTCGCATGCACTCATCTAGATGTGCTGCAACATGTGAAGAAAGAGGAGGACACAGTGATGCGTGCTCGTTACGTGGTGATTTGGGTGAATAACTTCGTCTTCCTCCACAAGGTGGAGTTCATCTACTTTTCCTCAGAGGAGAGCACTATAATGTCGTGCAACTCCTGCAGACACCGCGCGTGATGTCAGCTCACATGTTGGAAGGTTGGAGAAGAGCCAGAAGTCCTCCAGCTTTCCGTAGTGACTTACATGGTCCCTCGTGGCTACTGTTCGGCTTTGTGGTGCATCGTTGCATGTGGTTGCGATGTCCCACTCCATGGCCACTAAGCTAACATATCATGAGGGTGGAGGATGCAGGACGTCGCAGGGATTTGCGACAGCAAGATTTACGTATGTGGTGATGATGATGCATGGTGCCAAAAGAGATGGCAGAAATTGCTATATACTGCTCCAAACTCTCACGTTATATGGTCTGGTGAAGGAGGAGGGCATATGAAACACTTGCGCCTGCATGGCCTGAAACGGAGAAACACTGTTCTCGGGCACTCCATTAGATTCTCATCCGGTGGCACATTGCTGAGTGGAGCCGATCGACTCCTCTTTGTTGGCATCTGCGTAAAGCAAATATCGAATGAATGATGAGACATGAGTGGGAGGATGGCTTCCTTGTGTAATGCTTTTTCTATTCTCTCTTATCGCTTCGGATCCTCTTTATCTTTCGTGGCCAGCCATTCTACCTAAAATGTTGTTCCAAATTCTGGACACGTGTTGCATTTACGTATAGGTTTATGTGATTAGGCAAGCTAAGAGATGGAAAATTAGATTTCGAATATTCTCCTAAATCATGCGAGCCGACAGCAGCAGTAGGCGAGAAAAGAGCGTCGCAATCGGAGAGAAGGGATGCCAATGCTGTCGATCATCTAATCATATACGTGATTAAATTCCATATGCATCAGCTTCTCTAGTGCTTTTCTTCTACATTCGAGGGTGAATATCGAGTCGCATCAAAGCAAAAGGATGACATGTGCAGCCAAAGAAAGGAAGGTGCATTTCTATCTCTCATATATCAAAATAAAAATTACATATCATATTATAAAAAATATTATCTAATAATAATATAATAATATCGATCAACTAGACTCGTATTCTTCTCTTAAATAACTACGAATGATAAAAATAAAAATATAATCTTAATATTTGATGATTCATCTTTAGGAGGTTGTATCTATGTGACATAACTAAGAGAGTTCCTCTATTAAGTTAAGATAATCTCTTAAAAAAATTTATTTATTAACTCATAATCAAATCTAATTAAATTAATAATATATTTTATCTAATTAAATATCACATGATGTAACCGTAAGTGCTTGGTGCACTTATATATATTTTTTAAGGTAAAATGTATGGATCGCTACCTGCGCACGTTTAAGTTGATTTGCTGACTCAACCATCAAAGAAAAGGATGTTACGCGTAAGTCAGGAAGGAGCACTACAACATTCTTTTTTGTGTGGTGGAAAAGTATTCTCGTCCATTTGCTGATTGTGCGATGAGAGAAACTTGAGGTAAAGTTGATTTGCTGACTGGAGTCTTAGTCAAGTCGTACGCATCAATGTAAGATGTAAAGCTCAATGAACAGTGCCGAGCTAAGAAAATATTCATTCGCACCTGCATGCGTTTAAGAATGATATGCATAGGGATGCCGTAGTGCAAATAGGCACGTAAAACTCTTATACTTACGTGCGAGACTGTGGCAAGAGTACTCACAGGAAAACTCTCTCCACTGGCAACGCTTTCCTCCTCCTCTAGACCTGAAGCTCACGAAGGAGATGGAGTGTCGGTTGACTCCGATGCCTCACCTTGTTCTGTAGTTTTGCTCGATGGACCGACCCCCACGATTCCAGGCATGGCCTCGTCCATTGCCATACGTACAGATGTGTCTGACGAGGCTTTCCTACAGGGAAGAGCCTTGTCGAGTTCCCATTCATGAACTCATCGATTGGGATCGACATGTTCTGCAAAGTGCAAAGAAGAGGTAATCGGTCACTGTCACACACTGTCCAGTATGAATCAAGAAAACTTGAGGTTAGCAAGATGATGATGAAGTCTTACCGGCGAGGTTGTAGCTACTGTGTTCAAGAGGAAATGAAGGCCTCCTCTATGGTTGGAAGTGGCACTGGAAATGTCTTGGCAAAACCTTGGCATACATGATCCAGCTTTCACGATTGCTCGGCACAATCATGATCAAATCCATTAACTATAAAGTCAATTGCACCAACTTCAATTGGTCAAAAATTCCCGTTTGCTTGCTCCCCACTAAAAACATATTGCAATTTAGGTGTGGTGGATGCAAGGGACGTGTCCCATCCGAAGCATTGTTTCGTCTCCACTACATAGTAGCCAGCATTAACAGAGGTAGACTCACAGGAAGACCAATGAACAGGCACTTCTAGCAGCAAGGCATGAAGCATTTTTTAGATAATATGCAGAAGAAGAACCTTAAAATCTATAATAAATAATTAAAAGAGTCCCTCTCATTAAATTCATATCTTAAGGAATTATTTCATAATTTAATTTTTAACTAAATAATAATTATAATTAAAATCTAATTATATTTATAATATATATTACCTAATTAGATATATCATGTAATAAAAAATTCTCTCATTTGGCCTATTAATTAGTAAGATATATAAAAAAAATTAACTTAAAATAAATAAAATAAAATAAAAATATTAAAAATTATTTTAACTAATTAGATTTTAAAACTTCAAAAAAATATTTTACACGTGTGCATGAATTTTATAAAATAAAAAAAATAAGTCCAACAAACATAATAAACCATATTAAGTTTGATTAGTCATAACGGTTGTATATCATCAATATCATATTTCGTCCTATGTAGTATAACACTGCTAGCCCTTTATAATATCATCTAAAATAATATTTGTAATTTATTTTATCAAGACAATCATGTTATCATATTCAATAATAATATGTATATATATAAATATTAGCAGGATAGTAAAAATAAATAACTTTAATTATATAAACATTAATGTCAATTATAAAATCTACTTAAATATGTTTTACTATAACTTTTATTGGTTACTCACAAACTCAATCATAAAAATATATTCTTTCAAACACTTTATACCTATTTAAGAACTCAGGTTCTTAATTGATATTAATTATTTTTATTTAATCATTAAGTACTTTGTACCATAGAACTATAACTTGACAATTGAGGTTGATCGAAGTATTTTATGATTAAGTACTTTAATCAATTGTGGTTGATCATACAAAGTCTTCAGATAGGATTTCATAATTATAAAGGTTAATTATTAGCATCAAGACATGTCACAAAATTAACTTTTATTGTTAATAATATAGTAATATATTATTTTATATTTTTTCCTATAAATTGCTCCTTTAACTAACATAAATATAAATGGTAAAATAGACTTTCTACTTTTGAGATAATTTACAAAATAAATATTTAAAAATATTATTATTTTATTTCATATATGTGAGCATATAATCCTTTGTTTTTTTTCCATATAAATTGTGTATACTCAAGTTATTTATAATAATTTAATCTAAAAATATAAAGATATTTATAAAAATGTAATAAAGGAAGTACCACTATAAAAAATAAAATAACTTAATATTTTTAGTTTTTAAAATATATTAAACTATTGTTATAATCAATATTTCATATTAGGTAAAATATTAACATATATAATGTTCACTCAAAAATATTTATGGAGGACTAATACTATCCTTATGGAATAGTATTATTATTTTTTGGTATATAACTATATGCTACAAGGATATCCAAAATAATATCATCCTACAATATCACATAATTATTTAAAATAAATTCTCTATTAGAATTATCTAAATATCTTAATTATGTGTAATTATGAATATTATTTTTATCATTTATGATGAATTCTTTAATGTAATTTTATAAGTTATTAGTCTAGGCCACTATGGCAACTAGAAGACCAATATAATAATATAAAATATAATTGAACATATTTTATAAATAATAAGATATTTATTATGATTTATATTTCATAATCCTATCATTTTATGTCACATTGACAATTACTAGTCAAATAAAACTTAGAAATATAAATTACAAGTATTATTCACCAAATATTCTTTAATTTAATTTATACTAAAATAATTTAATAATAATAGTTATAATAATTATTGTATATTAATTAGCATAAAATAAAACTCATATAATAATTGTAATCATGATAAATCATAAATCATATCTTTATATAAAAATAAATATTATTTTATAATTTCAAATATATGCATCAAAACCAATATCCATGAATATTAATTAGATTTTAATTATTATATATAAATTTTTTATCAATATATCATATGAGAAAACTATAAAAGAAAATTATAATTTATATATTTTTTAACTTCGTATAGAACCTTAAATTAGACTAGTCAATCCTATTTAATTAAGCTAAACATAAGCCCATTAAATCAATCAAAATTAAAATTGACAAAAGTCAAAAATTAATAAAAAAATTTAATCTTTTTTTCAATTCAGTTTGATCGAATCTAAATCCAACCAAGCAATTAAAATATAGTTAGAATCAAGTTAGATCAAAATAGTTTATTAAATTAGTCAATTTTATAATTGATGACACAAGTCAAAAAATTTAATTTCAAAAGGATAAAATTATAATTTTATTTTGGGATATATTCTGAAAATATTTGATTCTTGAAGGGCAACATAGTTAAAAGATATAAATTGGAATTAAAAGATCAATAAGTGCAAGCCATAATTTTAATAAATGAAACCCTATTTTTTTTCTTTTCTTATCGATCGTCACTCCTTAACAAATGTGGTTGCTACGATGCACGACCATCTACCACTTGCATGCTGTCGCAACTATTCTTATGTGTGCTAGTTCCTCATTGGCGAAACACCTCCACAGCTATGCATCGATAATTGAGCACCGTCATCCCATCACGTGACTATGCACATGTATAGACTGACAACCCCATACGATCACCACGGTGCGTAATTGTGCTCAAGTGTCCACTCGATGACTATATCGATCATTGTGACTATTTTTGTATGTCGTTTAGCCATTGAGAATCGTAACCTTCGACATCTAATCGATGCTAGTCGTGGTCAGCAAACACCATCACAATGATATTATTACGATTGTCAATCAAAAGCAACCTTGCAATCATCGTAGGTAGCGGCACTCTTGCAACTGCCTACAACTAAAACAGGTCAACCGTTACAAAGTTGATTCACACAAGTAATCATAATCGTGCATGTGACCATCGCTAGCTATTGCAGCCCATCGCACTTTCACTAAGTACAATAGCACCTATAGCCACTACCCGCGATAGGGCTAAAGACTATTGGAGGTCATCACCCTCGATAATACTGTCAATAGTAATTCATCGATTAATCACGAGGAATATTGAATCGTTTGTAAGTAGCCAACAAGATGAATGAAACAGAAAAGTAGATTGACAACACAAATCTAATATACGAAAATAGATCTGATATACTTTTATGATCTAAAGTATTTGATCTTAAAATATGACTTTGATATTAATTGTTAGCATAAAAATTATAATTATATTATTATATAAAAAAATTAATATATGAGACTAAAATTAAATAATCATAAATTAAATATTATGATTGCATATCTTTTGATGCTATTCATAAAATTTTTATATGATCTATAAGCGTACCATCATTCGATCCGAAAGAAATAACAATGTTGATAATCAAACTCATATTGTCGTATCTTCTTATCCTTTATATAATAACTTGAAGAGATGAAATTGGAATAAGGACCGAGGAAAGGTGAGAGAAGATCTATAATCTCTAACATCGTATATCATATTGAGCCTCTATGAGGTTCTATCTATTTATAGGTAAAAATATAAAGTTTAAGATAAATAATTAAAATATCCTATCATAAATACAATCACATAATCTCATGTTACAGTCATACAAATCGATAGCAAAATGCATAAGAGTAAAATCACAAAACCAGGTGCCCCTACGGCGGGCTGCTGGGCCTCTCTTGGCTTGATATAAACAGGGGGAAGCCTACATGCGCAAGACAGCTGAGATAACAGATACTCCCTAATCCGATCCTTGGATTCGAATGCGATTGAATTTCCAGCCCCGATCCAATAAGCACGACTCAACCGTTTCCGAACGCCCTGATCCAGTTCCTCGGAAACCCGTTTAGGTGCTCCTCCCTCTCGATGTATCAACTCTCCCGCCACTTCTTCGTTGGCGTCGTTCTCGTCTCCTCATTTCTTTTCCTTTTCCACCCACCATAATCGCCCCCCCGCCCCCTCTTCTCCTCCGACTCTGCCTCCGATCGCAAGGTTGCGATCCTCGCGCCGCTGGCGGGATCTGCCAGCCCCTCGCCTTCCTCGTGAAGTTCAATCCACATCAACACCCGCTTCCAGGTAATCTCCTCCTCTTCCCCCTCTTTCGGGAGTGTGCAGATCTCTACCCTTTCCCGATCCTGTTTGTCGTTAGTGGATCTGATCGGTTCCGGGGTTTGCATCTAAATGACTCCACGGGGTGCCGCTTTGTGGGCGAGGAGCAGGGCTTTGATGTGGTAATCATCCCGGCTGGCGTGCCCCGAAAACGCCGACATCGTCGAGTCGCTCGGCACTGCCATTACCAAGTTCTGCCCTAGCATATGAGTTTCTGTAGCCGCAATCAGCGAAGCTTTCTGCCTCTTTTCCTTTTTCCAACCAAGCCTTCACTCTCATCTATATATGGAGTTGAATTATGTTATTGTTTTGTCTAATCTGAGGTGTTCAGGAAGGGCGAAACATATGACGAGAGCTAAAAACTTCCTACGCTGGCAAGCTAAAGGTTCCTGTAGATGGTAATGCCTGCTTCTTGCTTTTGTTCATGATTAATGTATTCGATAGATCAATGGGATAACATTATGCAGGTGTTAATATTCCTGTTCTTGGTGGGCATGCGAGCATAGCAATCTTGCTTCTATGCCCTCATGTGATTTCTTTGGAGTTGATATCTCGTCTATCATCTATCTATCTATCTAGGATATTTTATTTACCAATGAGATTGTTTTACTTGATGAGAATTTAGATAATAAACTTGCGTTATGGAGATTAACTGCTGATCAATTCGATTACAAATATACCTCCAATAGTTTGGTGCCACCACTGGATATGGTTTAATATCATGATCATTCGGGCTTCATGTCCCAGATTTATATGGTTAAACTATCACTTCCTTGAGAGAATAAGCTTAGTTCAAAATCCACTGGTTTACCAATTGTAAAGGAATCTGTTCATAAATGTCAAGGTAATACATGAAAGGAGGGGAACCAACTGGAAGCTCTATTTGGTCTGTTCCATAACGGTCTTAGTCTAGTCCAATCGACACATGGTTTTTTTATCTTGTTCTGGATAATGAAAACTTGTTGCTTCGAGGGGTCTTTTATCATTTGGTATTCCTCTTCCCGGAAAATGCTGTTGCTTAACAATTGGGTCCCCTGCGGCTCCCCGACTCTTCCTCTCCTGCGGCCCTCTCTCTCGCAAGCTAACCTAATCCACCGTTACCGCCCGCCTCTTCCTTTGAAGAAGAGGTGCGGACGAGGAGTTCTCTCGTGCTCCCTTCGCCATTTCGCAAGATCGATGGAGGGCGAACGGCGACCCACAACAGCAGAGGAAGGAGAGGAGGGTGTCCCCTCGATGAAGCTCCTATTCGTCGAGATGGGCGTCGGCTATGATCAGCATGGGTAACTCCATCCGAACTCCGATCGAATCGCGTCCTTTCTTCCTACAATTGATTCCTGTTGGTGTAGCTCCTCTTCACGAGGATCTCTCTCTCTCTCTCGTTTTGTCAGGCAAGATATAACCACCGCTGCGATGCGCGCTTGCCGCGACGCCATCTCTTCCAACTCCATCCCTGCTTTTCGACGAGGTTAATAGTTTCTCTTTTCTTTTCTTTCTCATGTTTATGATTAGGTATTCTCCTGACCTTGAGGATCTTGGATTGTTTGTTGAATTGGCTGCTGAAAACTTAGGGTTGAGTCATTCTTTAAGCTTGCTGAAAAATTTTTGTCCTTGTGTTCTCTGTGCAGGGTCGATTCCTGGTGTTAATTCGGATCAGATGAAGCTTGTAATCAAGCTAGGAGTCCCTCGGTCTACCCAGCATCTGCTCGATATTGAGATGGTTAAATCTGTCTTTCCTTAGTGAGTCTAAATCGTTAATTCCCACTTGTTTCCCGATCCTTTGAATTGTCTGGTTCTATGAGGTTGTTGATTTGGTTGGTATAAATGATGCTTTTACAATGCACTTGGCTTCCTGCCTGGGATATATTCATTGCAATGATCACGATGTGTGTAAGCCAGGAAGTCCAACTGAATTAATCTTGAGGTCAATGAAGCGACACTAGTTAATTAACAAGAGGTCTCTTAAGTTCTTAATGGAATTGATTGATGAGACCTTCACTGATCAAAGTGACAAGGTATCTATGGGAGAATTTACCAAAGTCTATATTTGGAAATTATCAGTTACAATTTCCAAGTATGGTTTGCAGAATTGAGTTAGAAAGTTGGGTAACACACATGCAATTCTTATCCAGTAAATAATTAACTGGAAAGGCTATATGCCCGCCCAGGATAATGATTCTTTGATAATCTGTTATATTTGTAAATGACTTAGCTGTTTCACTAAGTGGTATCAAACTTTTAGAGCTGCAGGAATGCTTAATTTAATGTCAGAAGAACTTTGATCTATCTTGTATATGAGTTAAATACTTTTCTTTGTGTTCCTTTTGTTTTCCTTTTCTTTTTCTTGAGTAGAATTTTGTGCTGCAGGCTTACCAAAGTGAGTTATGTTTAAATGAGGATTAATCTTATTGTTGCTGTTTAACATGTGCTCTTGAGTTTTTCCTACTGATTTCTTGTTGCATTATTGATTCCTTATCTAATTAAACAGTAGCCCATACGAAACATTATATGATAGAAAACTAGCTACTTGTTCATGTCTATATCTAGAGTTCTTTTCACCAAATAACCTAATCTATGAATTTCTGTAAATTTGCAGCATTTATAGCGTGACATGTCTGAAGAAGCACCTCAGTCCTTTGCTGTTTTATGATAAATTAGAATTAGCATTTCTTGCCTCTATATAACTTCAGGAGTTGTTGAATTTGAGAAATATGTTTGAGAAGATTTATATCTTTTTCTATGACATCCTCACGAATATATTGAGATGATAGGTGTCCAACATATGAAGCCATTTCTGACAACCATTATGAATTTGTTTATCTTATTGTAGTGGCGAAATTATTAAGGTGGAGGTTGTCGATGGAGGGATGATATGCTCAAGTGGTGTTTATCTTGAAGCGATGGGAGACAAAAATGATGATTGCTACATAGTGAATGCTGCGATATATGTTGGCTACTGATGCCTTTGTATGGTTGTCCTTGCTTCTGTCTTTTCCTTACCTTTTCATTATAATGCTTTCATAGAATGTCATTGCTAGTCTTTCAGAAGGTTATGTAGGCTTTATTCTGTGTTCTCTTAACTTTAAAGTTTTTCTTGGAGTAATAATAATCGTAGTAACTACTTTCTTATTGTGATTTATCTCTGGCAAGTTTTGTTATTGCCATTTTTTTTTTCCTTTTATCTCTTTTCACTGAAAGACACATACGTGTTCATTAGTTGATTTCACTAAAAAGCAGGCTTGAATATTGGCATTTGTTCGTATGCTAACATTTCCCTGAATCATTTGGCATTAGTGGCAGTCTTGCATATGCTGTTTTACAATCTGGATCTGCAGCTGCAGCTTCGTTTAGTCATTGATCAAAATATTTTTGTTGGAAGAATTAGTTTAACCTCTTGTGGTATCAATGGAGCTAACTATATTGTCCACCATCTCATCGTGTAACAGACAACTCAAGGGAAAAAAAACACATGAATATGAGGTTCTGCTTCCAAACAAAGAACTTTGCATCATAAATTAAACTATTGCTACTGAACCCTCTGATATTGATAAAATGATATTTTATTGGTATGACAAATGACAATGTTACAATTTTGCCACATTTTTTTTAGGCTTCTTGATTTCATATTTGTCCAAGCAAGAGATTATTATCACTGACCATACCCCCCATTGAATCACTGAAGAATACATTAACAGATATTGAAAATAATTCTTCCTAACTTCTAAACAGTTAACAATTGTGTACTTTCTAGTCCTTCCACAAATATTGTCAGAAACATCTATTCCATCAACAGAGTGCTGCATATAGGATCTGATTCCAAGTATCTGGAAGGCCGGAAACGCACCAGTGGCTGCAATCCATGCCTGCGTGATCTCCACTGTATGCAGATGGATGTGCGTCTTTTCTGAGTTGGGAGAGCAAGGTTATGTCAAGCAGATAAACTGGCTTTGTCATGGTACTAAGAACACTCTTCACGATGCCCTGAGCTGGAACTGGACCACCAGGGTAAGTTGATCCTTTGACTGGTTGGATCTGTCTGTAACAGTTCTTTGCACTTGGGTCTCCCCAATCGACCCCTCTGAATACAGAATTAAGGAAGAAATGATTTATCAGCTCCATCAACATAACCTATAAGACCTATATGGTTGCTTGAATTTCTTTACTTGATGCATTTCAAGGGAATGAATAGAACATAAGTCTTCTTATCTTTATTTTAAATTCTTCGTTCTTATTAATCTTAACAATAGCTTATGAGTGTTCCTGTTCTAGCACATACACAGGAAAAAAGTGAATTATGATAGAACCATGTAAGGGATGATTTGCATCTGTTATAAATTGAATTCTGGAGAGAGGGAGTCACTGAAAGATTCAATGTTAGGATTAGAAATAGCCAGTTGTATCTGATCTCAGCCTTCATGTTTGTACCGGTTATGCACCAAAGCGTACCAAAAACGGTAGAAGTCTTCTCATGTTTATTTAAAAAAATTCTTCTTATTAATCTAAAAATGAAGGCTCGAGTGTTTCTGTGTTGGTATACAAGGAAAAGAAGTAAATTATGATAGAACCATGTAAGGGATTGATTTGCATTCCTTGTAAGATGAATTCTGGAAAGTGGAAGTCACTGAAAGATTCAATGTTAGGATAAGAAATAATCAGTGGGATCTGGACCTCAGCCTTCATGTTTGTACTGGTTATGCACCAAAACATACCGGAAATGTAATTTGTCATGATTTAGCATGACCCAGCTTATCAGGAGAGCAATTGACTGTATTAAGAAGATTGATACCTTGGCTGCTAAACAATAACAGACTTTGCACTAAGCTAATTCTCTTTAAAACAGAAGTAAAGGTTTCACTCGGTTGTCTGTTTTGTGATGATATTGAAGACTATGAAATGTGCTTTTGCAAACTATGGTTGTGTGGAGGTAAGCAGAACATAGCTGATCGATACCAATGTTCATTACATTAGGATGAAGGAATCTTCTTGAGAGCTGTGGTAGTAGCAAGTAAAAAAAATTTTAGCCTGTCTATGATTATGGCTGGAGATGGTTTGTCTAGAAGGAGAGAAATCAAAGTATCTGTAGCAATAACCTGAATGGTGAGTTGTTTGTTTGGAAGGAGAGAAATTAATGGATCTGTACCAGTAACCTCAATGGCAATTGAGTGGGTCTTCAAGCTGATGTTGCTCAAGTACAGAGATGGTGTAATCTCTGTTGCGAGTTAAATGTTTATCTGTCTATTTTCTCTCTATTTTTCCTTTCATTTATTTTTTTAATCTTTCTTGTTTCTTATTCTTTGTCATTCATACTCCTTAAATTTTTATTTACCTGTTGGAAGGCCTCTTCCTCCATCTTTTAGTAAATTAGAGAACTGATTTTTCTTGCATATCACAAGACAAATAACAAACATTAAGGTTTGGATCCGATATGAGATAGGCATACTACAATCCTATATATGTAGGCTTTATTGGTTGCACAATGATTCTTGTAAGCAATGTGTTATCATGCATAAGAGAAACACTTTTGACATCAGTCATTTTGACGTTGTTGACAAATTGTAAAGAGCTTCTCATTTTTATTCTTGTTAATCTCTAAGCTTCTTGAATGACTAGTGGTGGTCCGATCCCTGTGAGATATTGGGGGTCATTATACTGAATGTTAGCATTTGTGTTAAAATTTGAAGACATGGATTTTCAGGTTTCCTTCTTGTTACAAAGCTGATGCATTTGTCCAAATAGAAACAAGGAAAACATAAAGATGGTTGGTTCATTAACAGCCAATGCTTTTGGCATTGTGAGAGAACTCCAAGAGAAGGGATTAAGATTCCTAGAGGGAACTGTTAGATGATGTTCTGTACATATTTCAAGAAATTAGTTCCTTTTTCGTTTAAGCCTATAGTTGTTTTCATGTATGTTTTCTTTCTGTTGATCGTAATTTACGACTGACTGTGGTTGTAGAACTTACAGGTAATGGGTTGGGGATATCCCTTGGAAGAAGACTTTGGTTGTGGCAGGATTGACGTTGGAATCCACCCATTTGGCCCAAGTAGTTAGCCCCTTGTTGAAGGCCAGCAACCTATCCATGTCTCGGTAAACCTGGACTCCGTCCTGTACATAGTCCCATCTGCACCACAAGATTGCTGTTGTTAGACTGACATGGTAGATGAAATAACAGCTTTTCCAAAGAATAATGCAGGGTTCTGAGTTAGGGCATCTCTCACACGGTTGGCTGTTTCCTCTGTGAGTCCACCAATGCCAGGTATTGAAGATTAACACGTCGGCGCCCAGCCACACCGAGCCAGATTGGATGGAATCGAGCTTCAGGACGCGGCCGATGGGTTCGTTCACTATGTCCACCAGGTATGTGGTATGGTAGTACACTACCGACACTCCATAATCCTGCAGTAGCGCCTGTTGTTAGCTGTAGTTTCATTTAATTCTTTTCCATGCTTTCGCTGTTGCACTCATGTGCTTTCATAGTTAAAATCTCTACATGACTGGAGCAGCAGGTGAGCTGACTATTTCAGACTGTTCTCTCGTTTGTCTCTCGATATTTTTGGGTATATGACGGAGTTTGTTTTGTGAAAAATGCTCATATATAGGCTAGAATCCGTGGCAGAGAGTAGCTTGCCACAAGGTAAATTTTGTTGTTAGATGGCCCTTCTGAATCACACGAGGGCTTACTGCTGATGCGAGGCAGAACTGTTCTTGGGACCCCAAATTTTATTCCCATTGTAATACCCAAGAATGCTTCGTCGTACAAGATGGGTGTAAAATAAAAGCTGAGGCAAAGGTTCAGAGAAAGGAGAAAAAGGCGGAACGGTTTGAGGTGACATGAAACAAAGAGAAACAGTGAATGACAGAAAAGAGAAAAAAGTAGGGGCAGGACGAAGCAAAGCAGAAGCCGATGAACAGGGACAGATTTGGTATCTAAATGAATGAAAAATTGGATTGTCAAAATCCTTTGTCGGGTTTGCACTCTGGCCATGATGCATTGACCTGAAAAAACGCATCGCCATACTGGAGGCCAGATGGAAAGTAACGCCAGTGGTGGCTCTTTCTCGATCGCATGTTCTCTGCAGAAGATGACAGAAGATTAAGAAAACTCGGGGTTTTTACTCTTTAGGAAGCTTATCAAAAGGTCATGGCTAGTTGCCTTGGTGCAGACGAACTGAACACTTGTTCCAATCTCTATAACTTTAAGAGGTTTCTTATTATAAAAAGCGGAACGGCGCGTCACGGAGTTCGGTCATTACCTCTCGTGACAGGAGCTCAGGAAATGCCAATTTGGGGAGTTGGTGAGGAAAACAAGATTCACAGTGCAATGACATGCCTTGCTGTTGCGGTCTCCCAGGATATGATGAGTGTGATTCCTTCTTGGATACAGACACGTGAACAATTGGGCACCACCACCACATGTGCCAGCGGATGTGATGCTTGAGATCTTGAATCTCCACGAAACAAAAGAGCGATTCATAACAGAGTTTGGAGAACAAGGTAGGGGAAGGAGGGTTGATGATGATGATGATGATGATGATGATGCTGGTGATGAGAAGAACAAAGAGGGGGATATCGCAGAGGTTTCAGAGAGAAAGAAGGGCACCTCGAATGCGATGGTGGAGAGAGCCTCCTTTCTTGTGTAGGTCGTCCTGGCGTTCGGCACCGCGGCATGAAGCATACAGCCCAGTGACTGCCACTGGTTCAAGCTGATGGAGTCCCCCACAAACATAATCTTCTTGCCTTTCCACCTCTTCAGCAAATCTTGGCCGTCGAACCTTCAGGATTCCCCCATTCACTTGGTGCGAAATTGCAGCGAGTAATGAACACAGCAGAGAGAAGCTAACCTTGGGAGCTCACAACCATCAGGCTTCCACCTGTACTTGAGGTACATCTTGTCGGTCCGGCCGTATCGCTGGCAATCGAACTCTGGCTCCAGAAAGGGGCAACTTGAGGAGTCGTAGAGCGGGTAGGTCTCGTCGTAAACCCACCTCCCTCGGAACATGTTCTTGCAACTGACACCACTCGCCCTCTCCCACTTCCTCGCCGACCCGCCGTTGTTGCGACGCTTGTGGGCTAAGCTCTCTGTCGTTATGCCATGCAAAGAGGCAACTAGAAGTAACAGTAAAGTGCAGTGGAGCCCAAAATTCCCGAAGGTTTTGGAACCCATATGGGAGGGGAAGAAGAAGAAGAAGAAGAAGAAGAAGAAGAAGAAGAAGAAAAGAAGAGGTGATGGCGATGGGAGAGATGATCTACAGATAGAGCGGTGTCAAGAGAAATGGAGGTGGTAGAATTTATGAAACTGAGCTCACAAGGATTTGGCTGTTCTGCTATTTGCAGCGGTTCACTTTATTGTTCTGTTCACGGTGGTAAAACGAGGACGGAGAGGAGGGAGGGGGGATGTGGCATGTCCTTTGCGAAAGGGGCCGAGCCTGGACAGGTTTGGAGTGTCAGAAGCATATCGCTATTGAGAGGTGATTTCATGGACTTGCTTGGTGTCGTGGAGTGAACCCGCTTTGGGTTGGCTACATGCAAATACGTGTGCCATCTTTGCCGACTGTGGCACCATTCCATCTGATGTGGTTGAGACAAGCGTCACATACTAATCCCTCGGTGGCCATTCCATGGACGGGCATGGCTTGTGTATAAAGTGGCAGCATGTATACTCGTGAAATACTCTCTTCAGACCAGTGCTTCTGTCACAAGAACAGGAGATCATAACTTCTAACCATGGGAGGGATGTAGTACTGCTTTTGTAGGATGTCACGTCATTGGTGAGACATGCACCGCAGCAGATCCATAAAATTAGGCTTTTTTTGGTCCTCGATTTTATTACGACGGTTGTGATCATAATCGAGTCCTTTTAATATGTTTATATGCACACATATTTAACATGCATATGTTCACATGTTAAATATTCTTTTATCATCGTTCTCATATTATGTTTAGGCATATGAAAAGTGACAAGAATATAACATATTTTGATGGATAATTATTAGGAGAAAATATCATTGACATATTTGTAAGTACAATATAACCCTGATCTATATGCGCAGAGTCGTTCGAGGTGGAGAGCACTTTCTCCCGAGTCGTTACATGCACAAAAATCGAAGTTGAGAGAAGCTTTATGAGTTGGTCGTCTCCGATGTTTATGTTAGTATCGAAGTTAACTCTCTTTAATTTTGAGTTCCTCTTGTTTGAAATTGAGGGTGTGTTTTTCTATCTGACCTTGAAGAGACGGAATATCTCATAAAGATTCTACAATGAAGGTGGTTTATAATCAACTCGAGCTGCCTTGGACTCCTAAAAATAATCTTATGAATATTTCGTAGGGTGGTAGTTTGTGATTGTCCCGAGCTGCTCCCTAGACTCCTAATAATATTCTTGTGAATATTTCGCAGGGAAATATTCACAAGAACATTCTTAGGAGTTTTTTTTTTTTTTCATGCAATGTATTTTTGTTGGCAGTCTCTCTAGATCGGTTTCCTAAACCTTTTATTTATGACAAAAAATAGCATCCCTTATACTTGCAGAATTGACACTCTTTCCATTGCATGTGTGTTATGAATAATGAGAAAATTAACAAGAATCTTGATATCTATGATGATAAATAATATATATATATATATATATATATATTTATTTTTTTTTTTTGCTCGACCAATAAAGATACAAATAACAAATGGATAATAAATTCTTGATTGCATTCTTTTTTAGAGGTAATATAATAAGGAATCAAACATATGGACATTTGATGTTAGGGCGAGAGAGTGGAATGAACCTCACTAAATAGACTAAGGGAGGTTTATAGATAGGGGACGATCCCTCTCCTCTCATGATGAGTACAAGTGTTCCTTCGAGACCATGTTGAAGGGACACTCCTTGTTGCTGAGGCGCTAATCAAGGTAGATATGCGAAAATCTTCCTCTCTCCCATTGCTAAGGTGCTAATCATGGAAGACAAGGAAATCTCCCTCTCTCTCATTGTTGAGGTGCTAATCGAGGAAGATATAATCCCTCTCTCTGCCTCTCAAGTGCTAATTAATCGAGAAATCTTTCGCTTCTCACGTGATTGACACAAGTGTCGTTTCAAGATCATGTCGAAAAGATGTCACTTGAATGTCTCTCTCTCCTCCATTACTAGGACACCAATCAAGAAGGATATGAAGATATACTCTCTCTCCCCCACTATCGATATTGATCAGGGAAGCAAACTCTCCCCTCTTATGATATAGCCACCGCCCGCAATTAAGTCAAGTGTTTCCTCGGTCTTTCTCTCCTTCGTTACTAAGACACCAATCGAGAAGGATGTGAAGAAGATATACTCTCTCTCCCTCCACTATAGATGTTGATTAGGGAAAGCAAACTCTCCCCTCTTATGATATAGCCACCCCTCATGATTGAGTCAAGTGTTTCCTCGGGATAGCTCCGAAGAGACATGTGAATCAAGAAGATCTGACCCGCACTAGAAGATTTGACACGTGAATCGGAAAGCACAAGACGTGAGTCGAGAAGACTCGACCTACGTGAAGAGTAATCCGCTACAACGAAGGATCGAGTCAAATAACGCTCGAGGCGCATGAGTCAAGAAAAATTCGACTCGCGCTAAGCAAAATCTGCTACGGTGGAGACACAAGACGAAACATGCCTGAGACGTGTAAATCGGAAAGACCCAACTTGCGTGAAAAGAAACTCGCTATGGCGAATGATCGGGCTAAATGATGCCCGAGGCACATGAGTCGAGAAAAATCCAACCCGTGCCAAGCAAAATCCATCACGGTGGAGACGTAAGGCCTGAAATGCTTGACATACCTAATTTAGAAAAACTCAACCCTTAGGATGAGATCCCGAATTATCTAGTGCTGAAAAAACCAAATGACACACTTTAAACCCAAAAGCTCTAAAGCACACCTTTGAGAGGAGGACAAATTATAGGGAATAAATAACTAGCATACAAACACCACGTAAGGCCCGTGGGAGGAAAGAGACTCAAACAATCCGACACCCGTTTACCTACGTGGATAGAAGTCTAAGAGACAGCTCGAGTCAGTTATCGTTATCGAAAACAATAAAAAATACAATTTCCTTTAATGCTATCATCACAAACAACATTCTCCGTAGAACTATGTAATCTATCTATATAACTCATCTTCTCTATCTTAGATCAACTGCAAAACTTAATTCCCAAATTAGATCAATTGCGGAAGCTTAGTTCCCAAATTTTTTGAAACAATATCCTATTACAAAATCCTCTGATCATAATCATAACTAGAAATATCTAAAATCTGCATTATAAAATGTTCATCAAATGTGGCGGTTGTATCAAGTCGAGAGTGATGATGACGAAGGGAAGAGAAAACGGCTACGATGGATGAAAGCATAGGCCAAGTTATCTCATCCCCGGGAGCAAGGGTGAAGCTCGAAGAAGGCTAAAAGAAAAGGGATCAAGGTGAACACAGCGCTTGCTGGAGAGAGCTTTGGTCTTTCTAACATTGAAGGAATAATCTCCAAGGAAAAAATCAGCAAAGGAAAAAAAGAAGAAGTTACAGGTGGGGATGATGGCACTGCCGAAGAAATTGGAGGGGTTTTGTAACGTCCCTTAAACTCGATCATAAGGGACTTCAAGATTAGAACTTTAACAAGAGACACTTAAAGTAAATTCTCCAACAAGGCGAACTGACAGGTAAAAATCCAGAAACATGGGTTTTTTTTTTCTTCTTTTTTTGGGTATAACTCGCCCAAAGTTTAATACATCATCCAACATAAATTTCACCTATTTGTACAACCCCACCAAGTAACCACAAATCCCAAGATAGAAATTGCCTACCTGCACCCACAATGATGGGTTCATTTAAGAGGCAGCTTTCGTGATCAACTGATTGAATGAATGGACATGCAAATTCACTCCCAAAAAGAGAAAGAAAAGGTCTTAACGGTGTTCACTTAGAAACAGCGAAGCGAAATAACGGTGGTGAAGCTCAGTTCAACAGTAGAGCAACTTATTAATGTTTATATAATCTCAACGTGAGATGATGCCTATGCATCAGCCCAAGTTCGAACACCAACTTCTCCCACATAAACCCCTGAAATGGTTTAGCAAGAGAACAAAATTGAACAGAGATCAATTCAATTCCTAGTCGTTTCTGCACTCGGGAAGCTACAGGTCAGATTCTTGTCACGGTTTAACAATTTAATATACTGAGATCAATTCTCATCTCTAACTCCACCATTGGAATTGGAGCCTCGATAAACGATGTCATGACATAAAATAAATCAACATGTCTATGCAATCTACTTTTGCGAATACCTAAACACCTCCTCCAGGTTTAGCACCCCCTTACCCTCTTCCCGGGGATCGTTAGGCCATGACCGTCCGGCTGATACACCGGCCACAGTAGGCCGTTCAATCATCTGAATGTTGCGCCTAGACCCGCTTGAGCTCTCCGACGCCATGAACGGTGGCCTTGCGTCTTTCCCGGTTAGGCTCTGCACAACATATTTGAATTGAGTCGCATCCGTCTCGACGAACTTGGTCTCGATTATCTTCACCCTGGTACCTTGTCCTGACATGGAATTCGAACTCTTCCTTGATAAAAACTACGTTTGATAGATTTATGGAGGCAACCGACTCGGGTATATAGAAGCCGTCAAAGATATGTTGGATGCCTGCTTAGACCCAAGAGAATAGTCAAAGACACGCCGGTCATGCATTCATGAATGGTGACCAAGCGAATCTATGGATTAAGATCTCCACAAGGTTGGCAAGACAAAAAGGTTCATTATGATAAGTTACTTTTACCTGATCCCAGGTTAATAATGCTGTACCAATTCAAAAGTTAAACATTGACATCCAGTATCTCCTATAGCCCGGCCCGTAATAGTTGAATGTTCCAAGGTGGAGTGGTTGGAGGGATAGCTGACATCTTTAGCTGCTTCATGGGTTTGACCAAAATTACTGGTCGCTTATACAACTTATTGTAGAAGCACAGATAATAAATTGTGTCTCATATATCACCTAAAGCTCTTAGACAAATTGACGATAATTAAATTGTAACAAGGAATATTAGTCCTAGAGGCAAAATTTTCATATACAAACAATTATATTGACTAAGTCATTTAATTGATAATTGAGCAGAAAAAAAAAAAATATACTAAACGTTCTCTCAATATGATAGAGTTTATCTAGAACGCAGTGGATCCCTAGCCAGGTATTTCTACGGATGAGTGGCTGGAAGCGATGCTCTTCTCTATAAATCTCAGGGAAGATCTGAGCTCCCTTCGTGCAGACCTTATGTAGAAATTTAAGAGAGATTGTTGAAGATCGCAGCAGGACAGCATCAGATGTTATCAAATTGGACACGCAAACGGGAGTCCCTCCACCAATTTGCAAAGTCATGTTCTAGATCGTAGATGAGAACTCCGGGATCTAGTAACGTGGTATCTATTGAATGCTCAAGCGAACGTCCGGTTTACTTGCAGTTCTGGATTTGCTCTAATCGGCGGATGCCTTTAGACCTTCTGTTTCCAAGGACTGAAAGTTACGCTTATAAGCCATAGGGAGAGAGGGAGAGAGACGGAAACCGATAGCCGTAGAACTTTCATCATGAGAATTAACAGGGAAAATACGTAGATAGATACTCCAGATCAATCAACAAGATGACAACGCTGACCATCTACGGCTTCAAAAGATTGGCTACTTTATAGACGCTACCTATTACCCCTCCTTATGCATCATTTTATGAGGGTGCAGGTCACAATTAGACGTGTCGTACTCCAAGACCTGAAAATTAGAAAAACCACAAGGTTTGGTAGGCCATGTCAATGATTTTTAGTGAGTTCATAGGTGGGCTCACGTTTCCTGGTTAACTTCAAATTTTGGCCGATGATCGTTTGTCAACTTAACTATACCGGCTAGTTATTGGAGCCTAACCACATCTGACCCATTCTAGCTACTGATGATATCTAAAGCAACTTATGCTAGCGGATCAAGTTTATGCTGAATTAGGATATTAGCTAATCGCATTTTGAATGGGTACAGACTGAGAAAAGATCGATATCAAAGTTGGATGAAGACGAGCTCAAATGCCTACTTTATAAACCATATTCGATTAACGGATCGAAAAAAATTCTCCGTGTTTGCTATCCATAGGATTAATCGTCAGTCAGATATTTCTAGAAGTTATTTATGTATATCCAGTCCATTTATGTCGGATTAGGGTTTCACAAGTAAAAGAGGGTAGCTAGCAAGTTGTCTTGTTTAGTTGACACCGGGAATGAACACAACTTAGCTTGACGGGGCTGATTTCTCTTTGCAAGATTGAGTTGCAGGAGAAAGATGGAGACATATTTCATTGTGCCCGCCCTGTAATCAGTGGATCCTGTTTGTTGCAGAGAAGCTAAAACACTTCTCAGAAAGATGTTACCATCATGCATCCTCAGAGAAGAGGAGGATTACTAATTTGTCATGGCTACAGCTGAAGACATCGGCAATGAGTGCTTACAGCGACACTCGAAACGTACATCGGCCGGGCCAGTTCCACACACGTTACCGATGATATCACATGTTCTTAATAGTCATAAGATCTGTTTCCATACTTTGTTGTTACGGAAAAATATCATTGATATCCTTATCAATATGATGTGATTCTTATCCATATGTCGTAGTTATCCAAGATGAAAAGCACCTTCTCTCGACTCAGCACCTACATAAAACCAAAGTCGAGAGAGACTTTTTTAACCAATTTCTCTGATGCTTAAGTTAGTCCTAAGGTAAGTTAAGGTCAGCTTCTCTAGGTCTAAGTTTTCTATTTTCCTTCCCCTACTTGAAGTTAAAGGTATATTTTTATACCTGACCTTGAAATGATATAATATTTCATAAAAATTTCGTAGAAAAGAGATGATTTATAATCAACTCGAGCTACTCTAAAAATATTTCTGTAAATATTTCATATGAGAGATAATTTATAACTAACCCGGTCACTGAACTCTCGAAAATATTCTTGTGAATATTTCACAATGAGGCAGTTGGTAATCAATCCGAACTATCTCTTAGACTCCTATCCATGCGAACAAATGAGTGTCAAGTCATTTGAACCTTTTTTTTCTCCGACATTTGCATGACAGATGATAATTTATTGATTATATATTTTTAATTAATATTATATTTATTTAATTCAGTATGATTTATGGTCAACTATTATTCCGATTAACAAGAGGACTGGCTTCACCTTCGGCTCCTTCACGGCCAAAACCACATTGAAGGAACCTAATTAGTGTCAATAATTCCTCTACGTGGTCAAAGATGCATGTTGAACTAACTGCAAAATTTGACTGGAATTCTGAGATCGCATGCATGACTGCATTATTTTATAAGGTTGCCTGTACGATACTTAGAGTAGTCATGGAGGCTAAAAGCCAGCCTATGACAAAAGCCTCCAAGAATATTGACCAAACGATGCAAACTCCTAATTACTTTGGGCCCATAGTCCAATGTCGTCGAATTGATGGTAAACTATACAACTCCAAGCTTCATCCAATGGGGGCCGTGTGATGTCCAAAGGATAAAAAGGGGATGGCAAGAACAACCATAATCGACGAGGAGCACAAATGCAGGGCCTTAAATAAAAGGCCCTGCATTTGACAAAATCGATACTGGAACATTGACTGCAGAGACTTCAAATACTTTCTGCATTCCCAGCAACATCAGAAGATCGTTTGTCTTCTGAGCAGACAGCAGTGAGAAATTTGCATAATTGATCTGAGAAGTTGGATCAAAACAAAGGGTAATACTTCTAGATACCGAATTCCTCCGGTCTAAGAACAGATCCAATGTTAAAGAGAATGAGCCTAAACTTGGCGGCCCAATCGAATGTTCAAGAGAGTCACACATGATTGCTACCGACCGCAAACAAATCTGCCTCGCGGAAATACTTCCAGGAAACAAGCAAAACTCTATAATAAATATTCTTCACATCCGCAACAAGAAATCAAGTAATCGACGGAAGAAGAGAGAGTAAAATAAATAAACTCTACGACCGAACTCAGATCAACGAAACCCCAATCCGATCACACACAAGAACCCCATAACCAAGATTTCGAATGACAGCATTCCAACTCGCACCCTACGGACGACGCAGAAAGAAACCCCATCTAAGATCGGAAAATATAAAATAAAAAACCCGAAACTGAGATTTCAGATCACAAACACAAAAGAAACGGGACAAACAGATTCATCAATCAATCAGCGTTTTCCGATCGGAAAAGGGACAAGAATAAGAATTAAGAAGCGGGAGCACACCTGGAACTGGAATCTTTCTTCTCGACCCGAATGCTCCCGAGATTTGGTGGAGACGATGAAGTAAATCACACGACCTCCGATCCGCATCAAACAAATAGAGTTCATCACAACGTTAAACGAGAGAAACAATCCAAAGGAAGAAGAGGAAGAGGAGGAAATGACCTGAAGCGGGTTTAAGAGGCGAAAACTTTGGAGCGGGGAGCGGAGAGCGGGAGTGCGAGAGAGGGGGCGGGAAGGGACCGACTCATGTGACATTTAAGCAAGCAACCCACTCACGTGACATTTCATTTTGTGTAGGTACATTGTGGAAGAAAGAAACCCGGGAAATTAATAAAAAGAAAAGAAAAAACAAGAGAATCTGTTTACAGAAAAGCCGCTACAATCATTTCCGACTCAACAATACAACAATGAATGTGAAACAAGAGAAACTGTATGGAAGAAGGTCGATCTTCGATCATGACAGTATGAGGGTCTCAACTACCTCGTGTTGGGTCTCTGTGGGGAAGGGGTCTCTTGATCATGACAGGATGAGGGTCTTCAGATATATGTTAGTTCTGAATCTGAGGCATGCCCCGATGCCTTCCGTCTTCTTGGGCTCATCATAACTGGTTGCAGCTGCAGCCGGTTTTCAGCGTTGGTTCTTGCAGTGCGTCCGGTCAGGTGTGTGGGTATAATGGTTCTTGATTTTTGAAGCTTCCCTGTAGAGACGAATGGAGAATAGGAATTAGATTATTGCTTGAAACAACATCAAGGATGCCAAGAAATTTGAGAGCCAAATTGAAATCCAAACGAGCACTGCATGAAACCACAAGTTACCTAATTGCTTATTGCTCTTCCCACTAGCCTTCACCGTGGAGGAGGTCTTGTTGGTAGTATCAGAAATCGTGGGAGAGAATGACTTCACAGAACCCACAGAGGTAGAAACCACATCATCTGGGAGAGTTATAATGAACGCGTTTTCATCGCTGCAAACCGAGGCTCCTTCACTCCCTGAATCCGAACACTTGTCCTTGATGTTGGTGCTAGTCTTCTCCCTTTCTGCAACTCGATAAGCGTACATTTGAAAGGGGATTTCTGAGACCCGGGGAACATCTTTCCTTCCCCAGTTTGTGAACCTCTTGCACAGACTAATTTCGAGGTCATAGTAATCCGCCGGTGGCATTGGAGCATCAGGTTGGCTATGATCTGGGTTCATAACCAAGAATCGCTTGATGTACCTGAGCACTCTACAAATGGAAGAGAAGCTGGGCCGCTGGGACGGATCGGTCTGCCAACATCTTTTTGTTAGGGTGGTCAGATACTTGGGGGATTGACATGCGAACAAAGGCCTCACACCCGCTCTTATGTTCTTGCTCATCTTATCTCCTTGAAGATGGTCGTCTTCAAAGGGAATTTTCCCTGTCAGCAGCTCGAAGCATATCATTGCAAAGCTGTAGACATCTGCCTTCTCCGTGCACTTTGAGCCACCACTGCTCTCCCCTGACCGCTCCTGCTCTAGGAGGACTTCTGGAGCATACCAGATACATGGGTTTGTGGCAGCTGCCTGGTTTGCCCAAGGCTTGGAGTTCTTCATTGGTGAAAGCCCACATCCAGTAACTTTCACATGCAAGTATCCATCTGGTGAAGAATTCCTCGTCTTAACCAATATGTTTGAAGGGTTCAAGTCGCCATGGTATATGTTCTTGGAATGGAGATACTCCATTCCTCTTGCAATCTGAAGCATTATGTCTACTGCCACCAGCAAAGGGAATAACACCTTTCTTCTGGTGGAGGAAATTTCTTTGATGTAGCTGGACAGATCCTTGGTCATTAGCTCCATCAGCAGAAAGCACTCCTTCTTCTCTTCATCGACGAACGAGTACACGTAATACGCTACGTTTGTGTGTGAGACGGATGATAGGAGAGAAATCACAGACATCAGTGGCTCAATCTCTCCGATGACATGCTTCACGGCAAAGCTCTCCCCCATCCATTGCACTTCCTTGTAGTTGTTTCCGGACCCAAATCTTCTTCTGACTTGGTAGTCATTCGATCCTACAAGAGCTGAGGATGGGAAGAGCTTCCCTTTGGGGCACACCAGGAGCTCGGCAAGCCGGTTCTCTTGCTTAGACAGGGGCTTGGATCCTGGGCTTCTCCTCTCGGCTATCGTTTCCGAGAGAACCCATCGATCTTCCTTCCATGCTGTTTCCATTTTGTTGCGTAGTTCCTGAGAAGCCAAGTAGGATTTACCAAACTTGAGCTGAAAGAGCTTAGGCTCCATCCACTCCTTCTCGTACTTCTTCGAGAAAACGAGCTTCTTCCTACCAATGTCTTCTTGGTCTGTTCCCGTGATCTCCCCGACATTCTCGATCGCCTCCATCACGATGGGGACACACCATAACAAGTCGTGAAGGTGGAACTCGACGCAGTCAGTGTTGTGAGTGAGGGCTATGGCTTTTCCCCACCAATCACTGGGCTCCAAGCACTGCCTGAGATACTGCTCCCCTTCTCGGAAGATCCGGTGGAGCTCCCTGAGAGGGTGCTCGAGGGCTTTCCACTTGATGAGCTTCTCGTCGAACCTCAGATGGTTCCTCATCTCCTCTGCCACGCTCTCGAAGGCGAGATCGAAAGCGTCCACCAGCAAGCAACACTGGTGCCGGTTGACTCGTATCTCGTCTCGGAACATCATCAGGGCCTCGATGCTTCCCAGAACTTCACCAATCTGCCGGAATTGCTCCATCTCCAATCCCAAGTTGGGGATGGAGGATTATTTTCCTCCCCAATGCAACTCTACTGGAATCTCTGGCTAGCTGATCAAATGACAATGCCGTAAGTACATATATATAAATAAATACACATCAATTAGCTATATATGACTGGTTCGAGAAAACACAGCAAACAAAAAAAGAGAGAACACCAAACGAACAGAAAAGAAAAGCAAACAAAATCTGGAGAATTGACTTGATGAAATGTCTTCAGACCATCAATAACAAACATTAGAACTCGTTATATATAAGGAGAATATCTGGGTATCGAATTAAGGAAAACATAAAACAGAGAAATTGCATGTTCTTCGGCTTCTTCCTATAGAAAAAATAAGAAGCAATCCCAATCCCATGAAATTTTTATCTTAGAGAAGGAAAAAAGAATGAAAAATCCTGCAAACTCTAATCCACAAAATGCAAAATTTACACCCATGTCAACTTCACGCAACATAAAAAGTTGATAGAACTCGATCGGTCTCGCCATACCAGATGCTCGGGAAGCCGTGCGAATTGCAAGCGAGGCCACCGATCCTGGGATGTCGTTCGTCCCCAGATGCCACAAATGAATCGACAAGAGACGTGGACGGAGAGATGTGAACAATCCGGTCGGGGCCGATGGAAAGAGAAGCAGAGGAGAAGAATAGAGAGGGCCTCAAATGGCGGAGTCAGGGAGGGAGGGAGGGCAATTTGGGTAATTAGGGAGGAGAAGAATCGTGCTGTTGTTGGGATACGGTCTCGCCTAAACACCTGGCGGCTCTGTTTTGGAGACACACAAACGTCGCACGGGGTTCCATTTAGACGGAGGTTTAGAATCAAAGTTCTAATTTTGTTCCTTGTTAATAGGAGCCTTAGTCAAACTAACACCTGCGTCGAATTGTAACAGTTATATGTAACGGTTGCCAATTTCTGGTTAAACCTTGGCCTTCTTTGATTAGGTATTAAGTGAGAAAATTAAATGAAAAAAGACTTGGGTAATAAGAAATCTTACTTTTTAGCTTAAGTTAACTATCAATAATCATGATTAACGGTGATCAAATCTGTTGTTTACTAGACGAACTGCAAACATGAAGAGATGTTGAACTCAATAAACCGGAAGGATTTCCCAGAGAGGCAGGCTTGTTCAGTGTCCATCGCAGCGCCTCGCCTTGTCCCTGACATGGTTTTGACGTGGCAGAACCTGGGCCGTACGAATGGCGATCTTTTGACCCAAAGCCGGGCTGGGCTCCACGTTCTTTTTGTGACCGAAACGGCTATAAGACCCGAAATGTTCTTGACCCTCTGCATGTCCCTCTCGGTATCGACCAAAGAAAGCATCAGAACAGAGGAGGGAGCGCCTCGGATCCCGTTGCCCTCCCCCGTATCTCTCTCTCCTCCGCCTCCTCCTCTCTGCTTCACCCAGAGAAGAACGGGAGAGAGATCAGGGTCGTTGGACGCTCTTTGATCCGGATTTCCTGAAGCGGAGGGATGGCAGCGATCCCCAGGGCTTCGCTCGGTCTGGTGGCCATTGTGCTTCTCGGCTTGGACATCGTCCTGCCGAACGTCCAGGCTCAGGCCCCTGCTCCCGCTCCTACCAGCGACGGTGGTTTGATCTTCTTCTTGTCTTTTGTTTTCCTGTCCTCGCGTTTACTTTTTCTTTCAAAAGCCAAAGATCCGATCTTTCTGCTGCTATTGCAAATGGATGTGTTCTCTTCTCTGAACTTTTCCCTTTCTTCCTTGATCCTTTTTCTAGTTTTTGTTAGTCCGGATCCAGTTTAGGCACAATGTAATGGTTTTCTCTGCAGATTCTCTTGGCCTTTCGTACATTCACGGCGACATAAAGGTTGAAGTTTGCAATCCTTGGCTTGAATAGGTTTTAATTTCTAATGCAAAAATTCCTCTTTTTGAGTTCCTTCTACCCAAACATGGTTGAATGCTGCAACTTCTATGACGAATATTGTGGCCTTCTGCGATGCATTCAGATTATCTTTCTGAATGCAAACTATGACTACGATCTTTATATGAATTTGGATCTTTACGATGAGGGGATGGAGGGTTGACATTACTGCTTCTTTGTGTGGGCAGGCGCATCAATCGACCAAGGGATAGCTTATCTGTTAATGCTGGTGGCACTGGTCCTGACCTACCTCGTCCACCCCCCGAATGATGCCTCCACCCCCTACAACCTCTTCTAATCCTTCAGGGACTACATCTATGTTCGTGAGTTAGGAGGTAATGATAGTTCTTTTGCTAGTAATTAGTCTGTATGTGGATGCATCATGGTGTGGGATTTGGACCCTTTTGAATGGAATTATCTTGTTGGTTTATCCCAAATGGCCTCATTGCTCGTGGGGTTTATGCTCTTGCAATCTGGATGGAATCATAAAGGTAGAGACATCAAATTTGTTTTCAATATTCTAAATGCTAAATGTTGTGGAATGAGCTGCATGCCGTGTGTGCAGCAGAACAATGTCAGCCCTATTTGGAAGATTCTTTCAGCAGATATGTGCATCACAATAGGATTCAAGAATGCCAGCCTATGCCGAGGCCGAACAAAAATTGAAGGCATACGGCAAACTCCTATGCCGATGCCGAACAAAAATTGAAGGCATACGGCAAACTCAAGTACCATTCAACATAGTTCTCATCACCTAAATGTCAAAAGGAATCTCGTGAGGCCCATAATTAATATGCCCGTCTTGCCATATGTACGCAGAGATGCTCTTTGTCTTCTTCAGAGGCTTCCTTTATTTCTGTTGGCCATTCATCCACGACACTGTTGCCACCACCCAATTTTAAGAACATGGATGTTTCAGAGTGGCAGCAAATGCACTCATGCGCACTCCGAGGGTTTATAAACCTGGAAGACGCAAGCTCAGAGAAAGCTTGCACAGCAACAAATGGGAAAATGAAATTATTAAGCATGCAAAAGGAACAATGTCAAGCCCTTGTATAATTTTGTGCTTGGTCCTTTTGAGGTTGGCAGCCACTGGACTTCTGCTGGTTTCATATTGAAATCTAATTTATAAGATGGACCAGTCTCCTTGTAACTGGGAACCAGCAACCATGTATTGATATGACTTGTCTCCTTCCCCATGTCAAACAGGTCTCCACAGTCCACAGGCCATGCCGACTCTCGCCAACCATGGTCATACATCATGGAGCCATCAGTACGTGCCCCTTGGGCTACCGTACTTTCAGATCCAAGACGATCCTAATTATTTTTGGCTGTCGGTACAACCTAACACCAGACCAAATAGGTACCAAATTAATTTCCGCGCCGAGCCATTATTTGCCAAAAGTCAATAGGATTGACTCCTTTCAAGAGGGACTATTAAGTATTTTGACCACTCCCCTCTTCTCTCCCCCACGTGTCTTTCACGTGCGCATTGTTGAGAGGGATGATGAAGGGTTTGACCAAGTGTCAACTCACGCTCATCCCGTTGCGGACGGACCCCACAGCTATGAGTAATCGCAGAGCCCGAACTACGGCGGCCGATATGTCATCTGTGCCATGGCGTGAGTGACGGATTTGGGCGATGACTTGAAAGTTGGCAGTGCGCCAGCTGTAGAAAGGGTAGAATTGTGATATTGAGAAAGAACCGCAAGTGCTCAACAACTATGCGTTCGCCCCCGTCTTCGCCTTCCCCTTCGCCTTTTTCCTCGTTTCTGTCACCTCCGGACTCATCTTTCACGCTCTTCTCTCTCTTCTCCATTTACCGTGTTTCGGCGAGCCAAACCCCTGCCACTGTTATCCCATTTGGTCTTTTTCTGCGAAGGGTTTAGGGGCTTTTGCATTAGAGAAGTGGAGAAGGGGGAAGAGAATACGAGAACAGAGGTACCTGTTTTTGGTTGAATCTTTCGGCTTCGGAGTCTGTAGCTTTGCCCATTCTTTATTGAATGATCCGCGACCGGTAGTTATTTTGTGTGTGTGTGTGTGTGTGTGAGAGAGAGAGAGAGAGAGAGAGAGTTCAACCGCGATGGATCCGGCCGACGTTGCTTGCCAGGTCGAGGTGAAGTTGTCCGAGCATGTTGTCGTGACGAGGAAGACGATCCCAGCGAAGAGAACCGCCGTTGAGGGATCTGGAAGCCGAAGGAGGGTCGTCCGGGTCTATTTCCTTGATGCCGACGCTACTGATTCCTCGTCTAGCGACGATGACCGCGACGGCGTCCGTCGGCGGGTGAAGCGGCATGTGCACGAGATAGGGATCGAGGTCGGCGCCGCGGCCCGGCGGCGGAGGTCTGTGGCGCTGGTGGGATCGAAGGCGAAGGGGGAGGAGGCGCCAGTGGTTAGAGAAGCGAGCGAAGAGAGGAGGTTCCGCGGGGTGCGGCGGCGGCCGTGGGGTCGGTGGGCGGCCGAGATCCGCGACCCGTACCAACGGAAGCGAGTGTGGCTGGGGACCTTCGACACAGCCGAGGAGGCGGCGACGGTGTACGACATGGCCGCCGTGAAGCTGAAGGGCTCCAAGGCGGTGACCAACTTCCCCGCCAAACCGAAAGCGACGGCCGCCGCCGGGTTACATTCGTCCCCCACGTCAGTGCTCCGCTACGGGGATGACGACTGGCCACCGTTAGATGACGTCGGCGACGGGGGAATCGACGACTTCGGTCTCGACGCGGAACCATCGCTGTTATCTCTAACGGAGTCCTACTGGCCATGGCCGAGATTGTGGGACATGGAGTTCGGCGACTTGGACGCCGAGGATTTCTCCTGACGTTGGACTGTTCTGTCTCTCGGTTCTTGTTTTGTTCTTATTCATTTGGAGTGAGGGGATCGACTTGTTTTTTACTATTTTTGTTCTTTTAATTATGGGATATTTTGTTCAGCAAAATTGTGTGGAGGGGAGAGTGGGAAGAGAGAAGGAAGCTCTTTTTTTTGTATTTAAGCTTGAGAAAGCAGTGAGTTTCTTGCTTTATTTTATTTTATATCTCAATGTATTCTCCTTTTGCAAGACGTGATGAGGTAGACAAAGGAATGTGCCATGCAAAGACAAAAATGGATTCTCCAGATGTCAAGCCATTTAAAAATCGAATTGGAACTAAAACTACAGCGACTGGTGGGACAGTATCCATCGAGATTTCCAACTGGCTTGCCGTTGCGCAGCCAGTGGAGTAGGCAGGCGAGTGGTGGTGGCGTCGAGTAGTGGGAGGTGAGTGTGGAGGGCGGGCAGGCGAGAGTGACGTCTACGAAGAAAGGTATAGACTTGTCTCACTGTCTCAAGTCTACCATGCACTGATGTCACGAGTCACATTTGACACGTGTCAACTCAGCATGATACCTGGATCGATCTTTATCCATTATTCCTGAAATCACAGCCGTCGGATCCAAAGCTGGAAAATTGAAGTGAAGGCTCAGCTCCAAATGCATGCTGAGGTGTGGGCCGAATAGATTCTCCTGTAGAACATGAAGTGGCTAATGCTTGTGGGAGACGTTGAATCAACCACGTTCCTCCAACGAAATCTCATCGCTCACACAAAGTCTGCAGAGTACAATTGACTGCCCACCAAATGTCACAGCATGAACTGCAGAGGGAGGGACATCAATAACGTACAGGACGATCAACAAATCTTTGCAATGAATAATGAGATCTCCAGCGCGACAAGTGGAGTGAAAAGAGCAAAATTATCTCGAAGCAGCAGCCACTCGATTGGAGAAGAGGGTCCAAATGGGCAGGCACAGCGCAGCAGGCATGCTCACTGCCGGAACAGCGCGTCTCTGCCCTCCTCCTCGAGCAAGTCATGTGAGTAGGTCCGAACACGAAGACAGCATGATGCTGAATCAATACTCAGCAACCACCGCACGGAGAGTGCCGACGATTCACAGAGCTAAGAGAGGCTCCTACTCCAAATCAATGTGCATTATCTCTTGAAGTTTCAGAAGAGGACCACTAAGTACTGCAACACTGCTCGAAGTTTGACATAAGAAAGGTCTACAAAGAGGAGGACCACTGAGTGCTGTACCACTGTTCAAAGTTTGACATAGAAAAGATCTCCAGGACTTCTCTCCCACTACTACCCCAGACCAGCAGCCATGAAATGGAACATAGATCAGGTCAAGTGTCATGTTCTAGATTACTAACAAAGTTTCCATGTCTACCTCTGTAACATAGCTTAAAATCCACCATGACAGATTTCCATATCAGGCAGCAGAATCTGTGAGGTTATAATAATATAGTAATAAATCCACATTTCTCATCCCAAACACTTGATGAGGTAACACCTCAGAGACATATTTGGTATAAATGTGCTCTAGCAGGGAATCTATCTCCTGCATAACAAATATAAAAAGCCACTGAGTTCTGCAGAATATTGAACAGTTTCATGTTCAGAAATTTCTAATCAGATTTTGTTTTAATAATGTAAAAAGACAACATGTCAGATCAAACTAATTGTCACTTTTAGTTGTCAACACAGAAGGAAACCATCTTGAAGTGGAAGGTAACTCAAAGTAGGTTAAATAATCTTTAAAGATTATCTCACCACCATCTTCCCAAAATTATCAAGGATTGACCTGGAGAAGCATTTAGTACTATAGAATAATATCCTTTGCATGAACATTATGAAATTATTGTTATAAACATCAAGAAACTAGTCAACTTTACCTTAGTATAGAGGCATTGAGGACAAGAGCTGAAGTTTACCGAACAAGAAACGAATGCCTGTAGCATCTGGAGATTATCAATCCTTTACTCACAAATACTCCAACCATAATTGGTGATATAGGATGCATGAACAAGTCAACAGAAGGTATACAAACACCTTGTGTGATTAACCAGGAAAACAACATCAAGTTTCTGCACATCCACCACTGTGTGAGGAACACTTAACACAGGCTTCCACAAGAACCTTTGCCCCAACTTCAAGTGACCAGACCACAATCTCATCTGTAGGAGCAATGGAACCTGGAAACAGGTAGAATATCTGAAACCGAGTGTTCTCTTCCATGGCAATCTCAATTATCATTCCTTCATATAAAGAACTGCAGCAGCAGAAGAATTTGTACAAACTAAAGTGAGTAGCAGCATCTGCACCTACCAACAACTACGCAAGCATAGTTACAATGGCACACCAAATTAAGCAGACTGAAACATCTTTATTTTCATCTGAGTTCTTTATGTAAAAAATATACCCAGGATCACTGCTAAGGATGTCACAGCTCTTCTTGGAGGTGTACAATTATTCTGCTTTTATAGGAGTACCGACGGTTATACTATTATATTCCATTCATAAAAGCAGCAGGATTTACCGGGTGTATATCCAATTTTTACTGTCCTTGCGCTCCCATGAGGATATCAATACTAAAGAACCTGAACCAAAATAGTTCATCAATTCAATCAATAAAAATGTACTCTTTAGGCGAATAAGCATCCCTGTTACTGTTGTAGCAATCAGCACCATCATCTTCCCTTCAAAACTCCCCTGATTTCACATCTAACTTATTATTCACATCTTCTCCAGCAACTCAAGGATCAAAATGCTGAAAATCTTAGTTTAAATATCTCTGCAGATTCGTTCATCCTTTCCTAGATTAATGAGTATGCATTGGTTGCTGAATGGCCGCTAGGCTGAGATGAAGCTGCCATCCAAATTCATTCTAGCACTTTTGATAATGAGTAACAAACTTCACCAATAATCTTTACAAGAACATGCTCCACCTTCAAAATGATGGAAGCGACTCGCATCCCTCACAACAAATTTCCTATTAACTACCTGAGAAACCATCTTCATAAACTGATGGCAATCCTCGCATACCCTCAAGTTCTTAATCACCACAATTTCTGCCCCAGCCTCAGTATTCAAAAGCCCAAAAGCAATTGCTAACTTTTCACTATGAAAACCTGTCAGTGGCAGATTCTCCTTCCTTTTATTCCCGTATATCTCACTATCATTCTTCACCATAGCCTCCAATCGAAGGACCATCTCATAAATATTCTTTGCCTGTGGATGAGAATGATCATCAGCCATGAATAAATGAACTTTCCCCTTGTGATCAACATAACTACAACCAGGGCCCTTCTTTAGCCCTCTCTGTCTCATTATAGCTCGCACCCTCGCCACACCATCCAACCTTCCAGCATCAGAGTATATGTTCGACAACAAGACATAGTAACCAACATTTGTCGGCTCAAGCTCAATGACATGCTCAAAAGCCAGTTCTGCCAACTCAACGTTTTTATGGATTTTGCATGCACCCAACAATGCACCCCAAATGGGACCATCAGGCTCCACTGGCATTGACTCAATCAATTCCCAAGCCTCCTTAAGCTGGCCAGCACGGCCCAAAAGATCCACCACACAAGCATAGTGCTCTCGACTTGGCACAACCCCATATGCTGTCTTCATTGAAGAGAAATACCACATTCCCTTGTCAGCCAACCCCCCATGGCTACATGCCGACAAGACACTGACCATTGCAATTCCATCAGGCCTGATCCCAACCTCTATCATCTTATCAAAGAGACGCAATGCTTCTTCACCATGCCCGTGCATCCCATATCCAGCAATCATTGCTGTCCAGGAAACTATGGTCCTCTGAGGCATTTCATCAAAAATCTTACGTGCTCGAGCCAAATCTCCACACCTAACATGCAGGCTTATAAGTGCATTTTTTAAGTGGGTATTCGAATCAAAGGATGGTTTTTGGCTAATGTAGTTCTCTATTTTCCTTCCAATGGAGCGGGCGCCGAGATATGCGCAAGAGGAGAGCACGCCAATGAGTGTGACAGCATCTGGCTCAACAGAGGCTGAGTGCTCCATCGTATCAAAAAGATCCAATACTTGATGAGCGAGGCCGTTCTGGGCGTAACACGAGATCATGGCGTTCCAAGAAATACGGTCCTTTCGATGGTCGGGCATTTCGTCGAACAGTTGCCGGGCAAAATCGACAGCGCCGACTCTCGAGTAACAAGAGAGCAGGCAGTTGGACACGGAAGATACGGACGCTAGCGCAGCCCGGAAGGCAACGCCGTGGAGTGGCGGGATGGCGGCCGGCGGGGCGGCTGGGAGGAGAGCGAGGAGGGTGACGTCATCAAAAGGAACCGCCTCACGTCGCATGCGGCAGAAGAGCGCAAGGACGGCAGGAGACGAGACGGGAGCGAGGGCGTGGCCGGAGATGAGGGCGTTGAAGGCGGAGGTGGGAGCAGCAGAGGAGGGGACCTCGTCGAAGAGGCGACAGGCGAGGGGGAGGAGGCGGAGGCGGGAGTAGGCGGACAGGAGGGCGGTAAGGACGAAGGGATCGGCGGGGAGGAGGCCAGACTTGAGGGCGAGGGAGTGGAGCTGGGCGGCGGCGGGAGAGAGGGAGAGGGCCGCGGCGGAGAGGATGGCAGAGGGAAGGATGGAGGAGATAGAGACGAAGGGTTCGGAGTGGCGGAGGGCGTGGCGGAAAAGATCGAGGGCCTCATGGTGGCGTCCGGCGGCCGCGATGTCTCGAAGGCGGATGGTGGACAAGTGACCGCCACTGCCGCAGACGCCAACTCGCATTCTTCATTGGGGACGACGTGTTGCCGCATAATAATAATAATAAATCAAACACCGAGCGGTAATATTCAAATCCGATCGGAGGGTAGAAGGAAATTACTTTGCTATTTTATAATTACAGAAAAAAATGGTGTCATTTCTGTATTCTTGTGAGGATAGATTAATTAATGTGACTTCTCCACTAAAAAATATCAGATCATTTCTCCATCGTAGCTTTTTAATGGTATGTAATTGAGGGAGAGAAATTTAATTGTCATTTTTATGGTGGTGAATTTCCTGCAAAAACACGTGAACTTTGTTATGCATATAATTTATGGTTATTGTGGAAGACAAAATTGTACAAAGAGGAAAGGTCTCGTTATCTAATAACTACATAATATTCTCATTATCCTATTATTGTAGGAAAAAAAAATAGCATCATTTTCCTTCGTGAAAGAGAAAAAGTTCATACGATCGCTATGTGCATGTATGCCAAAACAAAGATTCAGTGTCACTTTTCTATCGTTCCATTGTTTAGCGAAGTAGAAAGTATGTACTCAAAACGTTTTTCTTTTGATAACATGTGGTTCGAATCTCATCATCATATTTCATGATCATATGATTATTTTAGATATTTAATCGTGATATTAAATACAATGATTTTAGACCTCAGTATAAAAATATAATTCAAGTACCTTTTTGGAGAGCTGAATTTTCTCAATACTTATATTAAATACTTTGATTGAATCCTCAAAAAAAAATTTCTGATTTAAGTGTCAAAGCACTTTGTCAAGTTTACATCCTCAATGAAGTTTAAATTTGTGATATACTCAGACTCGAACTAAAGTTGAATTTAGATGTTATTTTACATCAAATAATTAAATTCTACTTTAAAAATTTTTCATAAGAATTAAATACTTGTGTATAAGAATTTAACAGAATTACGTCAAATAATTAAATGTTAGAAGGAGGGCCCAACAAAAGAATGTCATAAACTACTTGTGTACAAGAGCTGTCGTTTGGACTAAGCAGTAGCATCCTATTACCTTTTGATAGGCAAAAGTGATAGTTTGACGTAATTAAGCAACAATAACATGGCTAAACCGATTAAAAAGATGGTTTCCGACATCAACATAATCAAATAACTTAAAAAGAAACTCTTAACACTAACACAACCAAATTTTATCATGAAACATCCCACTATAATGATATGATCAAATCAATCAAGCATCCATCCTTCTAAAATAATGTAATCAAAATTAGTCAAAAAAATTGACCCTCTATATTGATATAATTGAATCAGCCAAGAAATATTTTTTTATAATAACATAATCAAAATCAATCATAAAACGTCTTTCAAAGGTAACCAAAATCATTCATGGTAACGTGATCAAATTGATTAAAAAACATCCTTCTCCAATTGAATTCAACCATAAAGTATTCTTTAAAAATGATATGATTAAATAAATCTAAAAATAATAATAACATGAGTTAAATTGGTCCAAGGCATTATTCCGGTGATAGAATGATCAAAATTACCTAAGATGTTATTAAATCTCATATTTTGATAATGAAATTAATTGATGAGTTTATGAACTAATTTACTTTTAAAATAAGTGATATAAAAAATACTTCGATCATGAATTTGAACTATCAAAGGGCAAATTATTGGAGTAGAAAAAATAAACATTATGATGGAAAAAGTATCATGTCGAAAATTGAACGTCGAGCTAGAGAACCGGTCGACCGCTGAATATTGGACTTTATGTTATAAGTTCGGGTATCGTGCAGGAAGGATCGAGTATTATATCAAAAGATCGGATGTCATGAGAAAGTCTAAGTTAAAGGAAAGAATAATATGTCAATGAATCGGACGAAGTGTCAAAAGATTAGCCGACATATCAGAATGACATACAACATGCTAAAAGCTTCATAATTATGTCGGATATATGATTGGATTGTTAAAGTCTTGATCGAGATCTTTATTAGATCAAATCGAGTTAGTATTAGGCCAAAATCATGCCAACTTATCGAGAAAGCCAATCGGCTTGAACATAGGACAAATTTGGCCTATTAAAAAGTTAAACTAGTGGCTTAATGCAGGCTTGGGCGATGGTACCACCTAAGTTAACCGACAAGCACAAATAATACCACTCAAAATTTAAAAATTACGATAATAGTATTGCTGACATCAAAAGTTATGGCACTAGTACCACCATATGTCAATGGTAGTATTGCTCGTACCTCAAAATTTGGTGATTTAAATTTTTTAACTCTATTTTTTAAGCCTCTTGGGGATTATAAATACTTCATTCATGCTTAGTTGATAGAGTATCAAATTATAAGTTTGAAAAAGATTATAACTCTCTTTGAGTATTATTTGAGTTACTTCTTCCTTGAGTTTAGAGATTAGTCTAATTATAAGAGCTGAGATATCTTGTAAAAGAGAGTATAAACGTTCACTCCTAAGTCGGTTAAAGAAGAAAAGTTATAACAAGAATAGTTGATTTTTATTTATTTAAAAAAATCGTTAGTAAAAATCGATAATCTTGATGGAAGAAAAATCGAGAATAGAAATAGGTTGAAAAAATGAAACTTCTATAAATCGATATTGCTTCTTTGCTTTTGATTTGTTATTACTGACTCATTTACTTTACTCATAACCCTTACTCACATTTTAGATATAAATTTATTAATTAAATTTTAAAATAAACTAAAATTTAGGATAGTACTAATTTACGATAGTACTAATTAATCCCTTGGGTATTATTCTAATGATAACATAATTGAAACATCTCAAGTCACTATTTTTATGACAAGACAACGAAAATGACTTAATGCCTTATTCTAACAAGACCATAATTAAAATAACCAAAGGTGTTATTTCGATCATAGTGGGATCAAATCGACCCAAGATGCTCTTTAGATAACAAGATAATCGAATTAACCTAAATTATTATTTCAATGATAATACAATCAAATTAGTTCAATGCACTATGTCGTTGATAACATGACCAATCCAAAATATTATTCCAATGATTAAGTAGTTAAATTAATTATCTAACAATATATATATATATATATATATATATAAATATATATATAATATGTGTGTAATCAACATTACATATCGAAACAAGGAGATTCCATCACTTATACGAAATCCAGAGTCTATTTCGCATAGCACGAGAAGCCATTCTCTTATTACAAAGACGAAATGGTGAGAGAGCGGATAATTATCTCTCTTTCGAAACAGTGACTTTCACCAGCACAAGATAAAGCAGCACAAAATGGTGATTTGATAGTAGATGAACTTCGACCTCAGGAAACGAGTGGTATCATCATCTCTTTCTCCATTCTAGAATTAGTATCCCGAACCTGAAAAGAAAAGCCCTCCAGTAATGTAGGAAACCAACATAGCAGGCTGGTGCAAATACAAACGCTTGACCAAATCCAACTCACCATAATTCCTCGGTGTGTTGCACCGGAAGCATTCCATCCTGCTTGCGTAGTTGTGCTTGTTGCAGCCCGACCTGCTTGATTAGTCGATAACAAAAAGGGAGATTTAGCTACATAGGACGACGCCAACACACAGCCAGCCTCATCTGTTCCTAAAAGAGACCATCTTTACACCTCCCCATCTACTTTTCACGCATATACGCATGACAAAAGTACTGCTTCGAATACCAAGAACACCCTGACAATCTTCTGACGATTAGTTGCTAAAGCTTCTCGAAAGCTCTCCGAAGACTAGCTCGATCAATAGGCAAAGCACAGCTGTGAAGGTATTTAGACATCACATTCCTATCACGCCCACATCCATTTTCACATCGATTGACTCGTCTCCTTATCCCCAGTGACTATTTGAACCCTACCCAAAGTACATTAGCTAGTATAGGGCTTCGTAAATCCTCAAAATCCTTTATTGTCTTCCCAAATCTACTGATTTAAGCGTCGAAAATATGTCGGATGTCTTCCACCAGTGTGTGTACGTGTGTGTGCGCGTATACGTAAGAGCTATCAGTGTCTGTGCGTGTACGCATATGAAGAGGTGCGCAGTTGGGTCGCGAGCTGACCTCGTGCAAATCCAGTCTCCGGACTTCAATCCAGGTTGAGATTGGCTGGTGCTGGCGGACCCCCAGGACTGGGCGACTGCGGAGGCAGCGTCGTCCTTGGACGCACCGCACTTGAAGCAGCTGGGGCGGCTGGCGTAGTTGTGGACGCCGCATGCACAGCGCCAGTCGCCGGGCTTCACGTCCCAGCTCGCGTTTGGGCTCCCGCGATCGCCTTCATCCCCGCCCACCTTTGCCTTCTTGCATCGTTGGCATGACTCACGCCAGCAGAAGTTGTCGTACTGGCATGACCTGCATATCCAGTCTCCAGCCTTCCGGCTCATCTTCTCTCTCTCGCTCTATCTTCTATCTGCTACGCATGCAGCACAAGAATATGAAGAACAGGAATGAGAATAAGAAGCGGGGGATGGATTACCTCGAGGAAGCGGAGGAGAGAGTCACGACAAGAGAAGGGTAAGTTAGACGAGCAGCCGTGAAGTTGGTCGTCTTGGTTGTGTGGAGATGGTTGGCTTGGCCTTTTATAAGATTAGCCAACGCTAGAGTGTTATTCTCCTTGTTTCTTCAGCTGGCCCACACTGCAGATGGAATCACCCCATAGGAATTTAACCCATTGAGTTTGAGGGAGAGAGATGGGAAGGATAAGGCGACGCTTGTCAGGGGAGGATAAGCAGCAGGCCCTCACCGCCCCCCCACCTTTTACTCCATGGATTCCCCAACCCAGCAAATCGTGCTAAAGCTTACCATATTAAACCCAGGAAGGTTTTATGTGGGGATGGAAGTTCTACTCGGCCTTCGGGTCCGCTTCGGCATCCGCACGAGAACACCACATGCATGCATGAGCGTGACAGAACCATTGCAAGGCCGTAGCGGCACATATATGCATCAAATTGGATGTCGCATATACGTTATATGTACATGCCGACTTTTGGCTTATCAACACATACCACTGTAGGACGATAAATACACTCTCTTTGTTGGCATACACCTCTCAGTGCTGGATTTACCCAATGAGAAATTATTCTGCTCTTCTCGTTTGGGTTAAGTATATTTTATGAATCGGTGTGACGTGTGGTCGACCCTCATACCATGCAATCAATCTCTCCGATTTCTAGCTATACTTGGAGAGGATTATTTCATGCCTTATGCTAGAAGATTAATTTTAAGTTTCGAGTTTTTAATTTTTGAATCAATAATATTTTATGGAAACGTGTTCGACAGTTTAAAAAGTAATATATACAAAAAAAAAAATTATGTTGGATGTATGGGATCACTAAAAAAGTTCAGAAATATTTTTAAACAGTTAGCTATCGCCTCAACATAAGATATATATAATGAGAAAAAATTATTTAGAATAATCAAATCATATGCTTAAGAAAACCATGGATATGATAGTTAAAAATAAAATAATTAATATTAAAAATATAAAAAATAAAGAAAGACTTAAAAAATTAATAAAAATATAAATAAAATTTAAATATTTTAAATTTAATTAAATATATAATCTTTTATATATATATCTCAATGATGATAAAACATCCATATAGCATCAAATTTGCCTAAACTTTAATTCGTATGACCGTAGTCATCATTTGCCTTCGTTCCTAACTAAATAAATACGATGAAGGCGGTATGATTTATACCATAGTCATACCTTATGTTTTCATGACATTACAATTTACATTCACCTTTTATAGAAAAAGTGTATGTGTATGATTTATGTTTCATCACCTATAGTTTTGTTTACTTACCAAAAGGGAAGTCACTGTCAGAATACTCTCTTTCGAACATTTATGGAATACATAATCAAAAATATATTTTTATAATCATAGATATTATCTATAAAAATTATATTTTCACTCCGATCTTCTCTCTCTTCCATCACACTATTTTTCAGTTCTCTCTTGTTGATTCTTTTCTTTATCTTACGTTACAGGATTTTCAGTATACCAAAAAATATTATAGCATAATATTTTTATATAAATTTTATAAAAATAGTATACTTATAGTGTCTTTACATTATGTTACAGTGTTTTTCAACAATACTAAAAAAACTATTGTAACACAGGATAAAATATAAAAATATTATATATTTTAATAGTATTTTTTATTTTTAGTAATAATAAAAAATATTATAGCACAATATAAAAATACTATAAAATAATGATTTTGTACCGTATTATAATTTTTTTATTTTGTACTATGTTATTTTACTTTTTCTATTATTGTCGATAACACCGTAACGTAGTGTAAAAATATTATAATTGGATTGTTTCACCCTATAGATCAGTCCATAAAAAAAAGAGGTAAAATAAGGGAACGATGTTTAAGAATTCTAAAAATGATGTCGATAGAAACCCGGAAATTTGATTATTGATAGTGAAGATTTTCCTACATCATCAATGTTGGTTTTTCAAAGATGTTAATTGACTTGAATGGTAAAGATTTAAACTTTTATACTAAAATCTTAGTATCAAAATTATCAACAACACTTAAGCTTTCAAAAAATTACTGAATTAAATAGAACGAAAATGATCTCTTTTTTTTTCTCTTAAAGAAATAGACTCGTGCATTTACATGCATAAGTAACGTAGAAAATGAAATTAGTCTCGAAAATATTTCCTGTTTTATAGAAGAGAAATGCTGAGATTGGAATCGGTTCTCTATAAACAAGTGGACTGATGTAATGCCTCCAAGGTATACAGATTCAACAGAGACTCCAATCTCAATCTAAGTGCACATTATTGAATTAGTTTATATATATGATTAGACAAATCATGTATGTATAGAGGCAGTATTTAGATGATGTAGAACAATCTTAATTTCTAATTCAAATCATGCACATATTTTAAATCCAAAACAGTGTGATATTGTCATACTCTCGAGTGGCGGGACCAAAGAGTCGAATCTGCTGTTGCTGTTCCGATTAATCGGATATGATATGTTCCTCGGTGCAATAGGAAGCCAAAGGTTCCTCCAATATTGTCTTTTAGCTACTAATCAAATAGTAAAGCTAAGATTTGTCGTTATCATATGTTAGAATAAGCAGCTATTGGTGAGTTTAGCAAAACAGGATTTGGAGCTTTCACTGTTTTTGATGGAAGCGTCACAGTTGTTCATGTCGTTAAGGCAAAGATAAATCCAAATTATGAGTGAGATTAATATATAATATTAAAATTTTGTTGAGTTGTGCATTAAATCTAATATATTCTTTAGATTCTTAGTAATGCAAGATTAATATTTTGTCCTCCTATTTTAATCTTCATTTCACACACTCACATATAAATATTCTTTTCCTTATTTGTAATAATATATTAAATTAAGATTAAACCTACATCAACCCTCACTGATTTGATTCGTAAATGTGTGAGATAAAGATTAAATGAAGATTAAAAATAATCCCATAGTGTTTAAAAAATAAAAATAAAATAAAAATAAAATGATATGTTCAATCTCAGTTGTTTTAATCTCCATCCATCGGACTCAGAATCATCTTTGACCATCCGGAAAGGAAGCGTAGCAAACTCCAAGATGTCGAGAAACGCAGCTTTTGCAGTGGGGACAACAACGTGAACTATGCTTTCCAATATTCTTTCCATCTCTTTGATAACGTGGAAAACATTTGGAACAGAGGGAGAGCAGCACGAAGTGTGGCAGCCACTGTGGCGTGGTTGACTCCAATCATGCAACCGATCGACCAGGAGAACCTTATGTGCGTGCATGTGAGATACAAAGTCACCTCTGGGATGCGCCAACTGGGTGACGGCGACGGGAGGATAGGCGCCTTCCCCGGGTAGCGCGCCGGTGAGATGCCAATTGCAGTTTCATATGGCCTTATCATCTTCTTCTTCCTTTCATCTCAGGTGACCTTCAGTGCCCAGGGAATCACCAACTTTACCAACACATCACCCTACGTCTATATCACTAGACCAAATGAATATTCTCCCTCGGCCGCTATCTTTCTTTCGCCGACCCCTCCCTCCTCCGTCCAACCTTGGATCCAAGCCTCTCCCTTCTTCATCGAACATCAATGCTCGATGGTTCAAAATGATCCTTCACGTTCCATATTTCAATGAACCCCGTATTGGTCTTCTATAGCACCTACCTACACGAGGCATCGCTGCCTGAGCAATTCATCCCGAAGCAACTCAACCACAGTTATTGTTTGGGTGCATCAAATTCATTGATCTGAACTCTCAAACAAGGCCTCATTTCCACAGCTGGGAACCCACAAGAATGGTTGGATTCCATTAATGCGGACAGAGCCTAATTTTAGATTGCAAACAAACCATCGGCGCGTTGAATTCATCGATATGAACTCTCAAACAAAGCTTCATTTCCACAATTACAAACCCACATAAATAGTTGGGTTCCATTAATGCGGACAGAGCCTAAGTTTAGATTGCAAACAAAACAACGGCGCGTTGAATTCACTGATATGAACTCTCAAACAAAGCTTCATTTCCACAATTACAAACCCACATAAATAGTTGGGTTCCATTAATGCGGACAGAGCCTAAGTTTAGATTGCAAACAAACCATCGGCGCGTTGAATTCACTGATATGAACTCTCAAACAAGGCCTCATTTCCACAGCTGGGAACCCACAAGAATGGTTGGGTTCCATTACTGTGGACAAATAGCCTCTTGTGGAGATGGCAAACAAACCAATGGTGCCAATCCTCGACTTATCCAAGCAAGTTATTATTTATTTGGGCAAGTTGAAATTTAATGCGTCTTACAATGTTTCTACACTAATCAAATTAAAGATAGTTCAACTTTATATAGATCATGTTAATCAAATATAACATAGTTCATTTACTATTTATATACATAATTATTCAATTGGCTTCCTTAATGTGATTTCAATGCTTTTAGGTTAATCCTATAACCTATTTTTTATGCAAATCATATCTTTTGAATGAAACACATAATATGTCATGAGACAAAGTATCAAATGGGGGTTCTACACATACCCATATTTCGACATACACATGATCGATCGATCGACTGATTAACATAATTTTGGTTTAACTAGTGAAGTCAGAGTTTCTTTCAATTGATGTTTAAGATTGAGATTTTCAATAGGAAACGGGTATTAGGAGTTTCTTTAAAAACATTATCAACATTCTTGGAATCATTATTCTTTCATAACATTTTTTTTTATTGTGAATTGATTATAATTTTGCCAATTATATTGGCCCTACCATATATGGTTCTTCAACCAAATTAGCGGATATTACCGTACATTGCATATCGAGACATCCATCTCTATAAGAACACCGACCATGTAGTAAATAAAAATCATATTCTCTGTGAGTGTTCGATGTTCTAAGCCTTTCAATGCCAATATCAACAGCAATGGCGAAGGAGAGGAAGGCAGCGAGGCTCAGAGCGCCGCCGGTGACCACGACAGGCGTTCATGATGTGGAAATTGAGCTGTCGAGGGAGGCAAGCCCCTACAGCTTGTCGAGCGGCATCCTTCCTTCCCTCGGCGCTAGGAGTAC